CAGCAAAGCTTCTCTCAAAGGTTTTGCTCTAAGAAAGATTTTGACTCCTTCGTTCTTGTTTTTAGGTGGAGAAGGGGCAATGGGTGGGTGGAGGATGCCCTGACTCTCGAGAGTGGTCCCCGCTGAGACTCTGCAGGGCACCACCAGGGGGCACCCACTTCAACTCCATAACTCACGGGGCTCACAGGTGCTGTCCTGGGTCCTGGCCCAGCTGCTGCTACCCAGGGTGTGGGAGAGGATTTGAGCCTCTGGATATGCAGTGCGGGATCTCAGTGCAGAGACTGGTGTAGGGTCTCCGTCACCCGGACCCCTCTGAAGGATTATTGGTTCTGGCCCCTGCAACTCCCAGGTGAGGGAGCATCACCCCAGGATCCTGTTCTCTCTCTGCTCTGTCCCAAACTTTCAGATTGTTCCCATCTGGAATGGCCTCAAACTCCTTCATGACCCTAACACCAGGCTTGCTATCCGTCTCAGGATTCACAAGAGCGACGCAGCAAGCGTGAGGGCTGACAGATGTTTCTGCTGCGAGCCCTCCCGGCAACTTACGGTGGAAGGAATTCGTGCTCACTGACAAAAATGTCCCAAGTTCCTTCCCAGAAACCAGACCTTACACCTTAGGAGGGTTTGGTGCCCCGATAGGATTTGCGCGTCGCCTTGGCCCTCTAAGAGTTTCCTGGGCCCTTTCCTTCCTCCTGGCCTGCTTCCTCCCCCAGCCTTCGGGAAGCCCTTGTCGGAGGGTGCAGTCACCCAGGAAGCAGGGACAGACTGGTTTTGGCAGGACCAGCCTCTGTCAGGCTGCTGCTGCCTCCCACCTTGAGGGACAGGCTCCTTCAGGACTGCAGTCAGCTCCCTGCATAGAAAGGTTACGACTGAAAGCGAATCTGAGGCCTTGTCTGTCTTTCTTGCCTGCTTGGGTGGGTCTGGTTTCATCTGAGCCTCTGGTTTCTGAGGGGCAGCCTTTCCTTCGTCCTCCCAGGGCCTCTCCTCTTTCCTACTTACCAGTCAGAGCTGTGACAAATGTGGACGGTGAGGGAGACGCCCAGAGCAGTGACACTGGCTCCTGTCCCTGCCCCACTCACCTACTCCCTTCGCCACGCTGTGCCACCCCCTTTTATGAAATGGTGTCCTCCACCTCAGCACGAAGCCCCTCCAGGGACAGCTGTTGTGAATCCCATTTCTAGTTCTTTCTTTAGTCTCCTGCGGGGGCAGCTCCCTCCTCCTCTCCATCATCCCCTGAGGCCAATGGAACTAATACGGGTCCAATTATTGGGGTTCACATCCCTGCCTGCTGGGTGAGGTTTGGGGCACCGTGTGCATTTGGTCCGTGTTCGAGTCAGTCTTTTCTGCCTTTGGAGTCTGTGTCTGAGTGGTCTGGGCTCTGGATGGGCTTCCTGGTGGGAGGGACACGGTCAGAGGGCAATGTAACCAGGGACCCAGGGGCACCTGGGGACAGGACCACTTCACTGAATAAATGAGAGCTGACTGTTAGACCCACTTATGTCAGTGCCTCGATTCAGCCCTCCCAGCGTCTCGGAGAAGCCGCACAGCTGCGCGTGTCCACCCCCACTGCCTCTTCTCCCCTTTCTTTGCCTCTGACCTCACACACCCCCTTTGCTCTCCTGAACGCCTTTCTGCAGAGAGAATTACTGTATCAGGAGGAGACCTAGTCCTTCAAGTCCTTTCCTTCTCCTTCTAACCCTAGAGAGGCTGACAGTGACTCAGATTTCTGAGGAGAGGGTGCTGTGTGCCGAGCCCTCTGAGGAAACCCAGGCCCTGAGAGGGTGCTGAATGTAAGTGTGTTGAATCCAGAGCGTCTTCCCACGAAGAACCTTCCTGAGGTCGGGAAGATCGAGCCCAGCGTGTTGGCAGACGAGGAGAAAGAGTTCTGAGCCCTGAACCTAGAACAGAGTGGCCTGTGCCGCTCAGTGTGTGGCACCTGGACGCGGAGAGCAGAGGGAGTGAGTGGCCTGGGGCAGTGGGCCCGACAGTGATGTTTTCTTTCTGGGCAGGATTTGGGATTTTCAAAGGTCACATCGTCAGCGCTTACAAAAGTAGTCCAAAGGGCAGATAGGTATGGAGAGAATAGAATGTTCCAGAAGGACAGTGATCAGAAGGGCAATTGGACACTTGATGTCAGAGAGCCTGGAGGCCAGACTGACAGCACAGCCTCCTGATTGAGAAGGCCTACTCTTCTGATCACACCCTGTCTCTGTCTGTCCCCTGCAAAGCCATGTGGCTGTACCTGGCAGTCCTCGTGGGCCTGTACTACCTCCTGCGCTGGTACCGGGAGAGGCAGGTGGTGAGCAACCTCCGAGACAAGTACGTCTTCATCACGGGCTGTGACTCAGGCTTCGGGAACCAGTTGGCCAGGCAGCTGGACCTGCGAGGCTTGAGGGTGCTGGCCGCGTGTCTGACGGAGAAGGGGGCCGAGCAGCTGAGGGACCGGACGTCAGACAGGCTGGAGACGGTGATCCTGGATGTGACCAAGACAGAGAGCATCGCTGCAGCCACCCAGTGGGTGAAGGAGCACGTAGGGGACAGAGGTACCACCCAGATTTGTTGGGTCTGTTTCTCTTCTGTCTGTGAAGGGAGACTTCTTGTCTGCTGCTGCGGAAGATTCCCTAGGTGTTTTCCAGGACTCGAGGTCATACTCCCTTTCTTTCCCTCACGCAGCACACCAGCCAAGCTTTTTCTCTGCCCCCTCCTCCCATCCTCGGAGCTCTTGAGGTTTGGGGAGAGCTGCCCTGATAGAATTTGCCCTTCCAGATTCCCTGTCTGAGGTTCCCCCTCCTCTCTCAGCAGAAGTTCTGCATTTCCTGTTTCTCAGCGCCCCAGGGGAGATCAGAGCCCACTTTCTGGTGGCCGAGTGGAGATGGGGCACTGACCCCGAGGTTTGTGTGGGCGGCTGGGGCAGTGCTGGAGCCGGGCTCCTCTTCTCAGCACCGTACCATGTTCTTGCTGGGGACCCATAATCCTCCCCCAGGGAGTCACTGTCACCCATTTCAGGTGACGACACTGAGCTTTCAGAATTTGCAGAGGAAGCTCAAAAAATCTAGTCTGGGGTCACTTTCTCTCTCTCTGTCTCTCTCTTTCTCTCTGTCTCTCTTTCTTAAACTAAAATTGCCTCTTATTATGGGGGAGTAAGAGAACATTAATTTCTTTCTTCTAAGTATAAATGTAAATCATGACAATTGTAAAAAACACGGACAAGGACGAGATCAAAATGAAACTCACCCACAATCCACCACCAGAGACAAGTCCTGGGAACCTTTTGACATAGACGGTATTAAATTGTCATGAAGTTGTATCGGATTCTTTTCATTGAAAGAAGATGAGCATACTATAGCATAAATGGAAATTTCTTGAAAAACTGAATTTTGTGGGGCTGGCCCGGTGGCACACTGGTTAAGTTCGCACGTTCTGCCTCTCGGTGGCCTGGGGTTTGCTGGTTCAGATCCCTGTTGGGGACATGGCACCGCTTGGCAAAAGCCATGCTGTGGTAGGAGTCCCACATATAAAGTAGAGGAAGATGGGCATGGATGTTAGCTCAGGGCCAGTCTTCCTCAGCAAAAAGAGGAGGATTGGCAGTAGTTAGCTCAGGGCTAATCTTCCCCCTCCCCCCAAAAAAACACCCCAAACTTAATTTTGAAGGATTGAGAATATTTTATCTTTTTGAATAGCATTGCTTACTAATGCCATTCCTCATGTATGATATGAACTTTTTCCCGACATTTTATTCATCATGTTCAACATACGTCATGTCTTGGTGAACTTCTTTCCCAAATCTCTCTGTGTAACCGTGCATATTGACCCGATTCTTAGAAGTAACATCTCTGCTGGGAGAATGCGTGTCCTGGAAGGGCAGCCTGTTTCTGAGCAGGAGAGGGACTCAACTCTCTGGGTTCGTCCTGTGCCCCCCGCGGCCCCAACTCCCCCGGATGTCTGCTCCTGCTGCCCTGAGGGTTGTTGCTGGGTAGCTCTTTAGTTTCTGTCCTCGGAATCATGTCTTTGAGTCCTGCAGAGAGGTTTCCACAAGGCTGGGTGAACGGAGCAGGGAGATGTGAGGGTGGCCTTCTGTGCGGGTAGGAGGACCTCTACCTCCTAGCCTAGAGGCCTCCTAGACGCCACCTGATCCACGTCTCCAGTGCTGTGGGCTGGGTGTCTGATTTCTGGTCCAGGGGGTGAAGGCTCTGCGTGGAGGTTGGTGGTGAGACAGCCTTACCTCCCCCTGAATTGATGCCCCTTGGAATTGACCCCCCAGATCCTACAGGAACGTTGCTCACTATTGCTGCAGGTGTTTCAAGGCCAGTCCCTGAGATCACCCCACGACTGTTCTCACCTTTCCCGAAACCTGGGGTTTGAGGTCTGGTTTCCCCAACTAACATCTACCCAGATATTAGCTGTCTTTTCTTCTTTTTGTTGATTATCCTTTATCTTTTTCTTCCTCTCTCCCCTCCCTACCTCATTCTCTCTCTGCGTGTCTCTCCTTCTCCCACAGATAGCTGTTGAGTGCTCACAAAAGACGCTGTCCAGGAAACCTGAAAATGTAGGTGAACATTTGTAAGGTCTGCAGGATAGCATTGATATGTGAAAACCCAAAGCATTACTCTCCGTCTTCCAGACCAAGGACATATGAGATTCCTCAACATCAGTTCATGCCTTCATGAAATTTAGGGTGATGGCCTGTTGTCCAACAGCCAGTGGTTGTGTCCTGAAGAATAAATCAGAAGGCAGTCACACTTTCTGTCCTCCGTGAGCTTAAATGGTCTCCCCTCTCCCAAACCCACTGGCAGTGTGTTGTTATGTGTCCTAGCCACTCCCCACGGACTCTCTCTCATAAATCCTTGCTCGATTGGAAGGTGAATTGGAACCAAAGCTGTGTCCACACTCACGGGCACAATGCAGTGTTGCTTTCTTTCCCCTCTGTGTCTAGGACTGTGGGGCCTGGTGAATAACGCTGGTGTCTTCATGCCCTCGGCACCCAACGAGTGGCTGACCAAGCAGGACTTCGTGAAGATCCTCGACGTGAACCTGCTGGGCTTGATTGAGGTGACCTTGAGCCTACTGCCCCTAGTGAGGAAAGCGAGAGGCCGCGTGGTCAATGTCTCCAGTTGCCTGGGCCGGGTGTCTCTGCTTGGTGGGGGCTATAGCATCTCCAAGTATGGTGTCGAGGCCTTCTCGGACTCCCTCAGGTACCAGACTGGGTTAGAGGTCCCCCCTCAGTCCTCCTGCTTCTGTGCTTCCAGGAAAGTCTTTTCACAAGCCCTTCCTTCCAGATCTCTCTCTATCTTGTTTTGTGCCAGGCATTCAGCAAGAAGTACTTTTCAATGTTCTGGGTGTTGGGATGGGCCCCAGGCCTATGGGGTTTTGTTCAACCTATCCTTGTGCTAGATGAGGGCCCACAGTCAGAAAATCTGAGGCATAATTGGAACTAGGATAATGTAGCTGCAGAGGCCATGTCCATAACCCATATGACATTCAGCATAAGGGAGCATTTAAGGTGAGGGTAGAGAATTTGAGTCAATTCAATGGATACTTCTTGGCACCGCTGTGAGTGCACAATAAATATGTCCTAGGACCACTATATTTGGTCCCTGACCTAAGAAGTCTGACCGCTGAGAAAAGGACAAGAGATGCAGAAATGTAGTGGCCATCTCTCATGGATGTTGTGAACAATTTAGCCATAGTGGCTGTGGTAGCCAGTGGAATGAAGGGAGGGTATTGGAGAGCAACTGAGCTGAGGATTTAAGAACTGGACTTGGGTAGCCTGGCATACAGGTTAGAAGGCTTCCTGGATGAGGGAATGACAACAGCCAAGCCCAGGGTAAGTAACAGTTGAGTACTTATGCTGCAGTGTCCTCCAGGGGTAAAGGACAAGTCCGTGGCTGGCAGGAGAGATGCTGGGCAGGTGCGTATGCGTGGGCTGGCAAAGAGACAAGGTCCTGGACAGGCTGTGGACCTTCATGCTGTTGACAGTGGAACCCCATGGAAGGGATTTCATCAGGGTAGTTACTTTGTCAAATCAGCATCTAGAGAACCCACTGGCTGCAGGGCAGAGGATGGCTCTAAAAGTGGGGGAGCTGGGACTGCAGGCAGTGAGAGGCTCCTTAGGGGACAGATGGCCAGGCAGTTGACTAGAGCAGCAGAGGGGAGAGAGAGGGTTGGGGAGGGTGGAGGAAATAAGATGAGCAATCACTGGAGATGGATTAGATGTGTGGGGACACAGGAGGAGAGAGCACTTGCAGGGTGCTTTGTAGAATAGATAGGATGTAGAGCTAATGAGTAACTTGTACCACATGCTTGTGAAATATGTGGGAAAATGTACAAAGCTTATACAGAGACTAGGCCATCATCATAATTTTTCTCCAACTGACTGCTGCACTTTGAAACTTACCAAGATTTTGAGTCTATGTCACTCCAATCCTGTGTTTGGGTTGTATCATTTCTGTTTGTTTGTTTGTTGTCTTTTGTTTCCCAAGGCCTCTTAAGTCCTTGTCCCTCTTCCTGTCTGCCTTCCAGGAGGGAGCTCTCCTACTTTGGGGTGAAGGTGGCTGTTATTGAACCTGGTTACTTCAAGACTGGCCTGACAAGGAATGGGAGGATAGCTCAGGGCATCCAGGAGGCATGGGATCATGCCAGCCCAGAGGTCAAGGAGATCTATGGGGAGAAGTTCCCGGCATCTCGTGAGTGGGCTGTGGACTGTGGGGGAAGAAGCACACCTTTGTCTGGAACCCTGGGTCCATCCTTAGCACCTTCTTAGATCTCAGGTCCGTGCTCCCAGTTCTGACTCAGCCACACAGTGGGACATTGAGCTTCTTCCCATTGTCCAGTGTGGTCAACAGGTAACCTAAGGAATGGCTTGATAGACCTGGTGACCCATGGGTCATCTGAACCCCTAATTATGTTGAGGAGGGCTCTGAAACAGTAGGGGGAAACACCCGTGGACTCATGGCAATCTGGCATTAGAGCAGCTGGTTTTCAGCTGCCTAGATTTTCAGTGTTTGTAGAGACCTCCAGTTTATGCAGTGAGATTATAGTCATAAGTTGATTAACGAAGGGATGTGTTCTGAGAAAACTGTTGTTAGGCTATTTTCTATTTTCTTATTGTGTGAACATCAGAGTATACTTACACAAACTTAGATAGTATAGCTCAATACTTATGTTGGCTGTGTGATATTAATCTTGGCCCACTGTTGTATTGGTCCGTCATTCACCCAGAACATCATAATGCAGCACGTGACTGTTAATACTGGGAATAGAGTCAGAAGGAGCTGTGTAGAGAGTGTTCCTGGGGTAAGAGTTGGGACACACTTCAACGACATGTATGGATTCCATGTGGGGCAGTATTTTGGAGGCCTTAGAAGCTTTCAGAAACTTTTCTCTAGAGCTGATCTGAAAGTAGGACAATGGGGAAGTGAGAACATATTTGGATGGTGTCTTCTTGACAGTCATGAAGTCAACTGTAAGGTTGGAGCCAAGTTGGTGTAAGAATCTGTCCTTGGTGACAGACTGCATGGAACATGCCCTGACCGCCTGCCACCCCCGCACCCGATACTCAGCTGGCTGGGATGCCAAGCTCTTCTACCTCCCCGTGAGCTACATGCCCTCCTTCTTAGCGGATGCCATAAACAACTGGAACTTCCCAAGACCTGCCAAGAGCCTGTAGCCCCAGCCTGGGGTGCATGGTATGGTGGAGTTGGGTACAGCGTGAGGGAGGCATGCATCGGGGGAGGGAAATAAAGTGGACAGAGGGGCTCTCATGTCACCAGGGACATCCATCTCACCTCCCTTTCTCCCTCCTCTTCAGTCTTCTCCTGGGACATTACTCAGGGCTCTGGGGATATTGGGAGGAAAGAATCAAATTGTACAGCTGAGGAACCAGGACCCATTGCACACGTCATCATCTGATCCTTAAGAGGCCTCTCAAGGCTCTGAGCCTCAGGGCCCTTCTGCCACCCTCAGGATCCACACTTTAGGGAGATTGTGAGCAGCTGGGAGAGACTCAGCCTCACCTGAGCCTGCTCTGACTCTGTCTTCCTCGTCAGTTGTGCCTTGGCCCTGGCATGTCTTCCGCTCCCACAGGATGGAAAGGCCTGAAGAAGGTGAAGTCTCTTCTCCACTGAAGACATCTGTGGACAGAGGTGGAGGTGTGGAGGGTGACCAACAGCCTGACCCCTCAGCCTCAGGTCCAAGTCAGCAGACCTTGCTGGAAGGTGGTGTGCTCAATAGGGTTCCTGACAGAGGACACAGAAATCAACTTTTGATTTGTCTGGAAAGCATGGATTTCCATTCCTTATCTTTGCTTTAAAATAAAAGTTGAAAAGTTTACCTTGGCCCAGTGATTGGAAGCGTGACCTTGGGGAGCGGTGGGGTGTGCGTCTGTGAGAGAAAGAGTGAGGTGATTTCACAGAGGTCAAGGGATGAGTGGGATGAGCTGAGGAGGCATTGGACAGAGAAGTTAGGTGACTCCCTCCCTTCCACACAACTAAGGGGCTGAAGTTTCCCTTCCCAGATTTATCAAGTATCATAGAGTCAGAGGATTAGACACGAGGATGGACAAAGAAGGAGAGGTGGCTCAGGCACTGGCAGACCCTTCCCTGGGGACACCAAGCCTCTCTCCTCACCAGCACCCTGTCTCCATGTCTCCCTCTCTGTCCTCTCCTTTAGAGTCACCACCCTCCATCCCCTGCCATCACCAGGTTTCTCAGCCAGGATCCCCTCCCCACGCTCTCCAGAGGGGGAGAGGAAGAGTCCCTTCTGAACCCAAGTCTTTCCTTTTCTGCCAACGTTTGTTGAGCCCCTACTGTGCGCTGGGTAGAAATTCCCCTAACGAACATGTACTTCCTGAGGCCCGGCCTCTCTCTGTCTCCACTGTTCCGATGATGTTCTGAGAAGGGACTCCACAGGGGAGGCATTTGCAGAAAGTGATACAGCTTCCTGGGCTGAGCACAGATTGGAGTTGGCAGGGACCTTGCCAGGTGTCTTAGTTTTTCTCCTTTAGAGTAACATTGACGATATGGAGTCCTCCCGGGTCCCTGAAGTTGTAGAACCATGTCAGCATTCTTCATGAAAACAAAAGTGAGCTCCCAGGTGGCAGGGCCCTTCATTCTCAAACCTGTAGTGAACACTTGGTGTCGGACAAGAGACTGCTGAGGACACAACGATGACGGGGAGGATCCTCAAGGATCTGCAAGTCCTCCAAAGTTCTGGTGTCCACTCAAGGTCAGTCCATGTCCCCCAGGCCAACCGAAAGCAAGAGTGTGATGCTTGATCTCAAGTCTCCAGGTTTTCATAAGACTGTGCACACACACACACATCCCTTAACACCAAACAAACTGAAATAAAATAAAAGATGATTCACTTTATAGCCTTGAGGGTATGTGTTTAAGAGGTTTGGACTCGTCCCCAGGAATCATCTCTGGAGTGTCAGAGAACTGTGAGGTTACAAACCCCTGGCCCTCCACCCTGGGCTCCATGAGCGGGCAGGGCTACACCGAGATGGGTGCCATGGCCCCAAGTGTGAAGTGGGACTCAAGGGTGTGAACTTAGACATGGCGGAGCACCAATGGCTTTGAAAAGAAGTCCAAAGCAAATCAGCCCGAGTCCTCAATCTAGACCCTCAGCAGAGCCTCATCCTCCTCCTTCCAGGCTTCTTTCCATGGGGAGGGAGGCAGGTCAAGTCTGATGGAACTGTGCAGGGCCTGGCCCCACACCAAGACAGTCCCAAGGAAGCTGCCCTCACTCCTTTTTTCCTTTGCTGTCATGGTCTTTTCTGAGGAGTACAGTGTCAGTGAGCCACACTCTGCCCCCCACTGCCACAAATTATGTCCCCTCCAAGTGACAGATGCTCAGCACCTGAAGATAGGGGTGTGTTTCTGCATTTCTGGGACCCACTCCAGGTAATCGGGCTGCATACCTGGAGGGCTGGGTACAGACTTGCAGAATTAATTCTCATTCCCTACCCTTTCCATGCTCCCTTTCTTTAGCTATGCCACGGCTTCCTCTGAAGACCCATATGGGATGAAAAAGAGGGAGTAGGCAGGTGGAGGACACCCTGACTCTTGAGAGTGGTCCCAGCTGAGACTCTGCAGGTCGCCACCCAGGGGTGTAGCCTCCTTTCCAGCGTGCACAGTGCTCACAGGTGCTGTCCTATGACCTGGCCCTGCTGCCTCTCCCCAGGGGTGGGAGGGGATCTCAGTGTCAGGATGTCCTGAGCAAGAACTTAGTCCAGAGATTGGAGGCAGTGGATCTCCACCCTGTGGGACCCTTCAAAGGGTTTCTCGTTCTGGCCCCTGCAACGCCCAGGTGAGTGAGTGTCCCCCCCAAGCGCCTGTTTTCTCTGCTCTTTCCCGAACTTCCTGTTTGTTCCCATCTGGAATGGCCTCAAACTCCTTCATGACCCTAACGCCAGCACTCCTATCCCTTTAAGGATTCACAAGAGTGACGCAGCAGGCGTGAAGGTTGACAGATGTCTCTGACACATGGCCTCTCAGCAATTTACGGTTGAAGGGATTTGTGCTCACTGAGAAAAATGTCCCCAATTCCTTCCCAGAAACCATGACCTTATCCCTTAGGAGGGTTAGGTGTCTGGTTAGGATTTGCATGTTGCCTTGGTCCCCTGAGAGTGTCCCGGGCTCCTTCCTTCCTCCGGGCCTCCTTCCTCCCCCAGCCTTCGGGAAGCCCTTGCAGGAGGGTGCTGGCAGTCACCCAGGAAGCAGGGACAGGCTGGTTTCGGCAGGACCAGCCTCTGTCAGGCTGCTGCTGCCTCCCACCTTGAGGGACAGGCTCCTTCAGGACTGCAGTCAGCTCCCTGCATAGAAAGGTTACAACTGAACGTGAATTTGTGCCCTTGTCTGTCTTTTTAGCCTGGTAGGGTGGGTCTGGGGCCATTTGAGCCTCTGGTGTCTGAGGGGCAGCCTCTCCTTTGCCCTCCCAGGGCCTCTCCTCTTTCCTACTTACCATTCAGAGCTGTGACAAATGTGGACGGTGAGGAAGACGCCCAGAGCAGTGACACTGGCTCCTGTCCCTGCCCCACTCACCAGCTCCATTCCTCTGGCTGTTCCATCTCCTTACATGAAATGGTGTCCTCCACATCACCCTGAAGCCCCTCCAGGGACAGCTGTTGTGGGTCCTGTCTCTAGTCCTTTCTTTAGTCTCCTGAGGGGGCAGCTCTCTACTCCTCTCCATCATAAGTTGGTAGGAAGCGAGCTACTGCCTTTCCAATTTTAGGCATGTATGGCCCTCCCTGCTTGGGTGAGGGTATGGCGCTCCACTGTTACTGAGCAAGGGCCCACCTCCTGACATGCATAAAGAGCCAATTACTACAGCATCAGCTTTTGGGTGTAGAAAGGTAGCTTTATTTGGAAGATCCATCTGGAAAGAGACTGGAGACAGATCTGTCTTCCTCGATCTAGGGCTAAAGACAAAATATATTGGATGAAAGCTAGGGTGGTCCAACATTGGAGATAGATGATTGGAGGCAAGGGGAAGTGAGGTACTTGATGATCTGTGCATGCATAGTCAAGCTTCAGAGCTCTTCACAGGACCCGTGTTCACAAAACAGTGGTGTAAGCACATCTGAAGGTGGAGTTTTCAGCCCCTTCACATCACAAAGTTCACTTGTTGGGCATTTGTGTAGGCCCTGTCGAGGAGTTCGTGGTGTCAACTGGCCTGAACTGGACAAGGGGTCTCAGTTCCTGAAAAACCATGCCTAAACACTCTGTTGATAAGATGAGGTCAGTTGAACTGGTCCTAAAGGGCCCACAGTTACAAATTCCCCCTGTTCATTGTTCATTCCTCAATCTTGAGGGAACTAGAGTGACGACTGCTCTAGCTTCTGCCTGCTGATGAGGGACATAGATTGTTTCATCTCACTGAACCAGTCTCTTAGTCAGATCGTTTTTGCAGCTGGGCTGCCAAAGTTAGGCCTATATTGTTTAAGCTGGTACCCAGGCATTTAGTAAGAAGAATTTCTAGAGAAACAGAAAGAAAAATGAAGTTAATGGTTGGAGCAAATTAGAAACCAGTTCCTGAGCCTGGGGATCAGCCAGTCAAGAAGATTTCTAGATGTCAGGGTTGAAATATCTTTTACAGTTTGAAAGTCTCCGATGATGTCATTGGGTGTTCAGGTATCTTTCTGAGTGGCTTATGCAGTAATAGTCACGACTCTCTCTTAAGTTTGTGTCAAGCTATCCAGCTTCAGTTTGCAGGGCTTCAGGAAAAAGGGTGGTTTCAATTCTCAGTGATTCCAAATGAAAAGTGATGGAAAAAATTGAAAATGTCAGTTTGGAGATTGTAGCCAGATATTTCAGGAGACTACAAGAATTCAGGATCCAGTCTAGTTTGCAGATAGAAAACAAAAACCTCAAAGACAATGAACAGAACTAGAACCTAATATCCATGAATGTGTACTATAGTTTTTGTTGAAACACTATTTTTCTCTCTAAACTCACCCTCATTTTTACCAAAGATAGCCAAATTGAGACTTATCTGTTTACAAAACGTATAGTTTCAACAAATTTGGCCCAATTATTTACATAAGGAGAGCAAGAATAGAAATTGATCATATAGACTCTTTTAAATATGCTTTGCTGGAGCTTTTCATAAGGAATCTCAGATTGACCTTTAAGGCCTCTCAAGGCCAGAAAACCAAGCCAAGGACTTGTCGTCAGACTCTGCCAGCAATACCTATAGATTTGGGTGAATTCCTCTCTTCTCTTGAGGTTCCCACAAATATCCTGAGGTTCTTTGCACCTGCCAGGGAAGTAACCTTTACTCACCTGGTAAACTTGCTGCGAACCACGTAAGCAAGGTACAAGGCCAATATTTCTGAGTGGTTTTATTCCATAAAGCCAATCTTTGTTCCTGAAAGTTGTCTGGTCATATCTGAGTCTATATATGTTTCTCTCAAATATGACATTCCAGCCAAAGTGTTGGTAATATAACCAATGTTTCCTATTGTGTCCTGCTATAAGGAGAGCAGATTCTTACTGAACTTATGCAAATAACCATCTTGCCATGAAAGAAAGAATACTCACACCTCAAGAGTTTTCAAATTCTGGTGGGACCAGGTAGGGAGAAAAAAATAAATGTTTCAATTCTGCTTAAAAACGTATAATTTTACCAAATTGCTATAAGTCATAGTCAGCTTAAGAGAAAGGAGAAAAAGATTTCTTTAAATCTGGAAAAATAAAACATTAAAGATCAGAAATATTTCAAATGAAAAGTCATAAAAATTATAATCATCCTCATCAGTTCATTCAGTCCCACATAGCCCATTCTTGATCTTGATCTTCTGTTAGCAATTTTATGAGCCATCAGTTTCTCTGTTAGAGTTCTGTAATTTCTTATTCAGCTTAGGTTCATAATCTGAAAATTTGTCAGAGACATGCATTCTAGAGCAAGCATCAGAATCCCTTCCATGAATCTTTCTGAAGATGAAATACACCTGCAAATACATCTGAGTAAAACGACAACTGTCTGTAAATGACAAAAAACTCAAAAATGGCAACTGACAGACAAACTTGACTATTTCTGTGATACACAACACTTTAAGATAATAACTAGAATTATGGCTGACAAGCAGGACAGATTAGAATTTTAGGAATGCTATATAAAGTTTAAAACACTTATTTTAATAACATTCACACCCACAAAACAACCTAAGAATGTTTATCATCATTTATTTGACAATGCTTCCCATATAATTTAACTTACTAAATAAGCGTAATTAGCTTAACATCTCCCTCTATATAGAAGTAGAACAAATTTTTTGAGAAGTCCCAGGGACCCATCGGAAACTCTCACAGTTAGAATTCTGGGAAGTTTGTCAAAAATATCAAAAGGTTTTATAACACTTGAGCAACTGGAAACAATGTTCACTGTGGAGCAATGCCTAGTTATCCATTTAACCAAAGTGACAACAGAAGCTATTAAAGGCAAACATACAGAGTTAATCAGTAAAAAAACAAAAAACCCTAAATTCTCTTAAGAGAGAGATTTAAGCCTTATAGAACATAGGAAATTATTCTGACAAAACATAGAATTTCTATCTTTTAGGTAGACTTTCTCAGAAGTAAAGAGAACCCTTTTATAATCTCTTTGTCAAGAGAAGACTAAAAGTTCAAGAAAATTATCCTCTTAAGAGAGAGAAAAAACATCAAAGTCTAATTTTGCAGCAGCTTACTTCTGATATCAAAACTCACTTACTTAATTAACTTCATTTTAATCTTAGCCACCTTGACTATGCACAAAACTCTTTCCTCAGGGTTCCTCTTCCACAAACCTTCTATGACTTTCTTTGTTTTTTTTCTTTTCTTTATTTTTGCTGAGAAAGATTCACCCTGAGCTAACATCTGTGCCAATCTTCCTCTGTTTTGTATGTGGGTCCCTGACACAGCATGGCCACCAATGAGTGGTACAGGTCCATGCTCAGGAACAGAAGCCAGGTTGCCGAAGTGGAGGGTGCTGAACTTAACCACTAGGCCGTGGGGCAGGCCCATCTATGACTTTTTTTTTACATTCAGAATTTGTCCCATGTCTTCTTTCTTCCCTCCTGGTACTTTAGGACAAATTTATCTTTCTTGACAAAACAAACAAAAATAATTCCATTCCCTATACCTTCTTTACTGAAAATATGCGTCTTACTTTCCTTGAATACAAAGATGTTTTCCTTATTAATTTTTAGTAGGCTTAATCACATATATATTGATTAGAATTCTGAACCCTTACAGACCTTAATTTTTAGTGAAAAGTATGAAGTAATCAATTATAAACCTGTCTTTTACATTAGCATTCTGTGGCTTGGCAAATTGATATATACTTTTTGTAATTCTTAGAAATATACCACTTCATAGTACAATCTTTTAATAAAATGCAAGACATGTTGACTAATAGACCAAAACACCTTTTAGTTCTGTAATAAGAAGCCAAAGGTAGATAAACTTAGACACGTTTAGCAATAATACTTCAGTATTTTATTTTATTTGAAAATGACCTAGATATTCAATGAATTTTTTATCATTTAATTTGACCTAGAAAACTTCAAAGATTCACGTTACCAAAGGGGTTTTGGAATCTTAAATATGCATATGCCACAACACATAATTATTGTTAAAAAGCTTACCCAAAAACTTGTATCTTACTTACATCTATTTAGTTTATTTGTTTCCAATAGCTATTTAGATTCCCTACAAAAACTTCATGAGACTTTAGACAAAATCAGTTATCATTCTAGGCTATTATTTTTGCTGACAAGTTTTGTAATAGTGATAACATGAGCTAATTGACTAACGAAGGCTGCATGTCTAGATTATATCTAATGTTGATAACTCTGAAGGTATGCCTATTTCAACCAAATCCACAAACTTAATAAGCTTTTATTTACCAAAGATTAATTTATACCATGTTAACTTGAAAGACATTTGGGTTAGTTCCTATTACATTCAGAAATAATTTATATAAGTGATTACTTTAGGCCAATTGAATAGAGCTCTTTCAGAAATTATACCATCTGTAGGTAAGATATCATACACGTATAACATACATGTAGACACACACACACAAAGACTCCACAGCTATTGTCTTTAAATTACTGCCATGAATCAAGTACAGTAATATAAAGCTCACCAGTTATGAAAGAATGATCAAATCCAAATTTTGCTTTAAGCCGTTTCTACTAACATTTGTGGAGAAGACACTCAAGATGTTAGATTTTGGGCAAGGGCACTCTATAGGCAGTTTTTCTTTCCCTGTTTCCTTTTCTTTCCTTCAGTCTTAGGAATTGGGGATGGGCTAGGTAATAGTTCCCAGAGAAGCTTTTTGACAGAAAGGAAATGGGTGGAGTCTGAACTGCCTTTAGAGTTGCATTTTCAGTTTTGCAAGGATTTCATTTCTTAAGCACTTTTAAGCAACTTTAAGTTGCTCTTCCTCAGAAATTGATTGTAACTTACATCACATAGGTCGATCTACCTGTCCAATTATATCATTGCTAATTTGCTTCTTTCCCTCTGGGTGCTTGTTTTGTTTTAACTTAGGGAAGAGGGCCTAAAAAAAAATTCCTGTCAGGCTCTGAATACAAGCTTCAAGTTTTCTTATTGTAAGTTGCTAAATCCTTTCAAATATCTTGTCGGGTTTCGGCCTGGACAAACAATAACTATACCTGGCAGTGTTGAACAGTTCCAGTAGTCTTTAGCATAGTAGTTTCCCAGACAATCTCTGAGTCTTGTTGACTATGGGAGGGGCTCATTTTGGGCCCTCCTTCAAAGGTAGATTATGGGGTGTCTGTAATAGGCTTTTCTTTTAGATATCTTTTATAACAACTTTTCTCTTTGCAACAAAACTTTCAATAAGGTTACTTTGGGATTTTGAAGTCTCTGCTTTTAAGTGCACTTTTAAATGATCTTATCTAATTGAACGTTCCTTCTAATGGCCAATGTGATCTCCTGAGGCTGGCAGCAGTTTGGTAGGACACATAGGCACAAAAAGGAGTGCAATCCATGTTTCTGTCCAACCATCTCCGACTGCAAAATGGGCTGCAACAGCATTTTTGTCCAACTTTATTTTTGGGACCCCCTTCCACTTGGCGATTATCAAGCCCAAGCCCTGGGGACACAAAACAAGCTTGGTAAGATTTTGCAGTTCTTTGTAAACATTTACAGCTTCTGGAACCTCTAGATTTTCAGCCATTATGCTGGAAGTTGGAGCACTTGACTCTTTAAAGATTGAAGATTTCTTTGTTTTTTGGTTTGAAAGCTTGATGGGAGCCCAAAGTGGCCACTGTAATTTTAAATTGTCCCTGGTTATCTTGCCAGCTGTTTACAGTTATTTCCATTTGAGGGGGCTCTTTCCAAGGTGTCCAGAACAAACAAGGTAATTTCTAAAGAGTATTAGAGTTACAGTCGCCAAGAAACTCAGTCCCAAGTTGATGCCTTGGTGGTCTCAGTTCCTCACTCTTAATTACTCTGTTGACAAGATAGACTCAGTTGAACTGGCACTAGAGAGCCCATGGTTACACCATCCGGTGGTCCCTGTTCAAGTCAGTCTTTTCTACCTTTGGAGTCTGTGTCTGAGTGGTCTCGGTTCTGGATGTGCGTCCGGCATGGAAGGGGCAGGAGGGGCAGAGGGCAATGTACACAGGCACTCAGGGGACACCCGGGGACAAGGCTTCTTCAACCAATACAAGAGTACCGAACGTTGGACCTACTTACGTCAGTCTCTCGATTCAGCCCTCCCAGCAACTCAGAGAGGTTGCACTGCTGCACGTTTCCACCCCCACTGCCTCTTCTCCCCTTTCTTTGCCTCTGACCTCACACACCCCCTTTGCTCTCCTGAACGCCTTTCTGCAGAGAGAATTACTGTATCAGGAGGAGACCTAGTCCTCCAAGTCCTTTCCTTCTCCTTCTAACCCTAGAGAGGCTGACAGTGACTCAGATTTCTGAGGCGAGGGTGCTGTGTGCCGAGCCCTCTGAGGAAACCCAGGCCCTGAGAGGGTGCTGAATGTAAGTGTGTTGAATCCAGAGCGTCTTCCCACGAAGAACCTTCCTGAGGTCGGGAAGATCGAGCCCAGCGTGTTGGCAGACGAGGAGAAAGAGTTCTGACCTCTGAACCTAGAACGGAGTGGCCTGTGCCGCTCAGTGTGTGGCACCTGGACGTGGAGAGCAGAGGGAGTGAGGGGCCTGGGGCAGTGGGGCGGACAGTGATGCTTTCTTTCTGAGCAGGAGTTGGGATTTTCAAGGGCACATGGTGAGCACTTGCAAAAGCAGTCCAAAGGGCGGATAGGTAGGGAGAGATTAAAATGTTCCAGAAGGACAGTGATCAGAAGGGCAATTGGAAACTTCATGCCCGAGAGGCTGGAGGCCAGACTGAGAGCACAGCCTTCCTGATCCAGGACGCCGGAATCTTCTGATCCCAGCCTGTTTCTGTTTGGTCTCTGCAAAGCCATGTGGCTGTACCTGGCAGTCCTCGTGGGCCTGTACTACCTCCTGCGCTGGTACCGGGAGAGGCAGGTGGTGAGCAACCTCCGAGACAAGTACGTCTTCATCACGGGCTGTGACTCGGGCTTCGGGAACCAGCTGGCCAGGCAGCTGGACCTGCAAGGCTTGAGGGTGCTGGCCTCGTGTCTGACGGAGAAGGGGGCCGAGCAGCTGAGGGACCGGACGTCAGACAGGCTGCAGACGGTGATCCTGGATGTGACCAAGACAGAGAGCATCGCTGCAGCCACCCAGTGGATAAAGGAGCGCGTGGGGGACAGAGGTACCACCCAGACTTCTCGGGTCTGTTTCTCTTCTGTCTGTGAAGGGAGACTTCTTGTCTGCTGCTGGGGAAGATTCCCTAGGTATTTTCCAGGACTTGAGGTCATACTCCCTTTCTTTCCCTCACATGGCTCACCAGCCAAGCCTCTTGTCTTTCCTCTGTGCCCTCTTCCCTTCCTCGGAGCTCTGGAGGTTTGGGGAGAGCTGCCCTGATCAGAATTTGCCCTTCCAAACTCCCTGTCTGAGGTGCCCCCTCCTCTCTTGGCAGAAGTTCTGCATTTCTTGATGCTGAGTGCCCCGGGGGAGATCAGAGCCCACTTTCTGGAGGATGAGTGGAGATGGGGCACTGACCCCCAGGCTTGTGTGGGCAGCTGGGGCAGTGCTGGAGCCGGGCTCCTGTTCTCAGTACTGTACCATGTTCTTGCTGGGGACCCCTAATTCTCTCTCAGGAAGTCACTCTCACCCATTATCAGATGACGACACTGAGCTTTTAGGACTTGCTAAAGGAGGTCAAAAAACTAGCACAAGGTCACTTTCTCTCTCTCTGTCTCTTTTTAAAACTACAACTTACCCATCTTATTGTGGGGAAGGAAAGGAACATTTGTTTCTGTTATCTAAGTATAAATGTAAAACATGACCATTACGGAAAACACAGAAAAGTACAGGATCAAAACAAAACTCTCCCACTATCTACCAGCAGAGACGAGTCCTGGGAACCTTTTGACATAGATGGTATTATACTTGGCACGTAGTGTCTATCCTCTTCTTCTCATTGAAAGAAGATGAGTATTTTACAATCTAATGGGATTTTTTCAAAACCATATAGTTTAATCATTTAGAAATTCTACCCTTTTGAATAGTAGTACTTTTGAGAACAGTACTTCATGTATGATATGAAATTGTTTCCTGCATTTTATTCTCACGTTCAACATAAATCATGTCTGGGTGAATTTCTTTCTCAAATCTCTCTGTGTAACTGTGCATGTTGACTGGGTTCTTAGAAGCAGCATGTCTGCTGGGAGAATGCGTGTCCTGGAAGGGCAGCCTGTTTCTGAGCAGGGGAGGGACTCACCTGCCTGGCTCCATCTTGTGCCCTCCGTGGCCACAACTCCCCTGAATGCCTGCTCCTGCTGCCCTGAGGGCTGTTGGTGGGTAGCTCTTTAGTGTCTGTGCTCAGAATCGCGTCCTTGAGTTCTGCAGAGAGGTTTCCAGGAGGCTGGGTGAACTGAGGGCCGAGGGGGAGGGGTGAGGGTGGCCTCCTGTGTGGGTGGGAGGAGAGGGGGCATTTTCTGGTGCAGAGGGTGAAGTCTGTGCATGGAGGGTGGGGGTGAGACAGCCTTGCCTCCCCCCATGGGCTGCCCCTTGGAATTGATCTCCCAGGTCCTACAGGACTCTTGCTCACTATTGCTGCAGGTGTTTCAAGGTCAGTCCCTGAGGTCACCTCCTGCCTGTTCTCACCTTCCCCCGACCTGGGGTTTCAGGTCTGCTTTACCCCACCAACTTCTAGCAAGATTTTAGCATCTTCTTTTTTTTTGGTCCATTACCTTTTGCCTTTTTCTTCCTCTCTCCCCACCCTTCCTCATTCTCTTTCTGTGTGTCTCTCTACTCCCCCACAGATATTTGTTGCACACTCATGAAAGGCGCTGTCTGGGAACTCTGAAAATGTAGGTGAGCGTTTATAATGCCTGCAGGACAACATTGATGTGTGAAAACCCAAAACATTACTGTCTGTGTTCTGGACTATGGACACACTAGATACCTCAACATCACTCCCTGCCTTCATCAAATGTGGGGTGATGGCCCATTGTCCACCAGGCAGTGATTGGGCCAGGCAGAATAAATCAGGATGGAGGCACGCTTTCTGTCCTCCAACAACATATGGCATCTGCACTCCCCAAACCCTACCAAAAGCATGGTGTTATCTGTTCTACTCACTCCCCATGCAACGTCTCTCATAAAGTCCTCATGTGATTGGAAGGTGAATTGGAACCACAGCTGTGTCCTCACAATGCAGTGTTGCTCTCTCGCCCCTGCTATGTCCAGGACTGTGGGGCCTGGTGAATAACGCTGGCATCGCTGCACCCATCACACCCAGTGAGTGGCTGACCAAACAGGACTTTGTGAAGATCCTCGACGTGAACCTGCTAGGGGTGATCGAGGTGACCCTGAGCCTGCTGCCCCTAGTGAGGAAGGCAAGGGGCCGAGTGGTCAATGTCTCCAGTGTCGTGGGTCGATTGTCCCTTTTTGGTGGGGGCTACTGCATTTCCAAGCATGGCGTCGAGGCTTTCTCGGACTCCCTCAGGTACTGGACTGGGTTAGAAGCCCTCCCTCAGTCCTTCTGCTTCTGTGCCTCCAGGAAAGCTTTTCAGAAACCCTTCCTTCCAGATCTTTCTCTCTTGCTTTGTGCCGGGCATTCATTGGGAAGTACTTTTTATGCTCTGGTGTTTGGATGGTCCTCAGCCCATAGAGTTTGATTCAACTGATTTCAGCCCTAGAGAAGGAGCCACAGTTGGAAAGTGTCCGAGGCAAAATAGGACCTGGGATAATGTGGCTGCAGAGGCCATGTCAATAATCCCTATGACATTCAGTTCAGGGAGCCCTTGAGTCGGGGTGGAGAATTTGAGTCAATTCAACAGACACTTATTGACATCTCTGTGAGCGCACAATAAATGTGTCTGAGGACAACAAGATTTGGTCCCTGATCTAAAAAGTCTGAAAGCTGAGAAAGGGACAAGGGATACAGAAATGTCGACATCTTCATTGTGGTGATGACCAAGTCAGCCATGTTGGCCGTGGTGCCACAGGAATCAGGGGAGGGGCCTGGAGAAGGGTCTGAGCTGAAGATGAAGAACTGATCTTGGTAACCTGGCAACCCGAGGAATAGGGTGGGAAAGCTTTCTGGATGAGGGAATGACGTCAGCCAAGCCCAGGGTTTGTAATGGTTGAGCACCTATGCTGCAGGGTCCTTTAGATGTAAAGCATAAGGCCTGGACTGGCAGGAGAGACGCCAGGCAGGCGGGCATCGGTGGGCTCGTGAAGGGACATGGGCCCTCGACAGGCTGTGGACCTTCATGCTGTTGACAGTGGAACCCCATGGAAGGGATTTCATCAGGGGAGTTACTTTGTCAGATCAGCATCTAGAGAACCCACTGGCTGCAGGGCAGAGGATGGTTCTGAAAGTGGGGGAGCTGGTACTGCAGGCAGAGAGAGGCTCCGTAGGGGACAGATGGCCAGGCAGTTGACTAGAGCAGCAGAGGGGAGAGAGAGAGTTGAGGAGGGTGGAGGAAGTAAGACGGGCAAAGTGTGGAGATGGATTGGATGTGAGGGGACAGAGGAGGAGAGAGCATTTAAGTGGTGGCTTGTATTAGAATAGGTAGGATGTGGAGCTAATAAGCAGATGCATGTCAAAAACATGGAAAAATGTACAAAGCTTATAGAGAGACTATGCCATTGTCATAATTTTTCTCCCCCTGGACGCTGCACTTTGAAACTTTAGAAGCTTTTGAGTTTATGTCACTCCAATCCTGTGTTGGGATGTATCATTTCTGTTTGTTTGTTTCTTGTGTTTTGTCTCCCAAGGCCTCTGAAGTCCTTGCCCCTCTTCCTGTCTGCCTTGCAGGAGGGAGCTCTCCCACTTTGGGGTGAAGGTGGCTATTATCGAGCCTGGTTCCTTCAAGACCAGCCTGAGCAATAATAACAGAATTTCTCAGAGCTTCCGGGAGGCATGGGATCACGCCAGCCCAGAGGTCAAGGAGATCTATGGGGAGAAATTCTCTGCATCCTGTGAGTGAGCTGTGGGCCCTGGGGAAAGAAGCAAACCTTTGTCTGGAAACCTGAGTCCATCATTAGCGCCTCCTCGGATCTCAGGTCCATGCTTTCAGTTCTGACTCAGCCACACGGTGGAGACGTTTAGCTTCATCCCATGGTCCCATGTGGTCTTCTGGTATCCTAAGGAAGAGATCCAGACTTGTTAGAGCTGGGGACCACAGGTTCATCTGAATCTCTCATTATGTTGAATAGGAAACTGAAGCCAGAGAGGGAAGACACCTCTGGACTCATGGCAAGCTGGTATTATAGCAGCTGGGTTTCAGGTGCCTAGATTTCCAGTGTTTGTAGAGATCTCCAGCTTATGCAGTGCACATACAGCCATGAGTCATTTAAAGATGAGGGTAGGTTTTGAGAAATGTGCTGTTAGGCCCCCCTTTTTTAAAAAAGATGGTCCCCAGAGCCAACATCTGTTGCCAATGTTCCTTTTTTTTGCGTCTTCTCCCCAAAGCCCCCCAGTATATACTTGTATATTCTAGTTGTAGGTCCTTCTGGCTCTGCTGTGTGGGACGCCACCTCAGCATGGCTTGATGAGCAGTGCCATGTCTGCACCCAGGATCTGAACTGGTGGAACCCTGCGCCACGGAAGCGGAGTGTGAGAACTTAACCACTCAGCCACGGGGCTGGCTGCTGTTAGATCCTTTTGTTGCCGTGCAAACATCATAGAGTCTACTTACGCAAACCTAAATAGCATAGCCTACCACACAGCCAGGCTATATGGGACTAATCTTATGAGAGCATTGTCGTAGATAAGAAGGCAGTTAAGCAGAGCATGACTGTATTCCCAGGATACAGTGAGAGAGGGCTTAGCGTGGAGAATGTTCCTGGGGTAAGAGTTGGGACACGCTCTAATGATTCCCTGAATTCCATTTGGAGCGCGATTTGGGGGAGCCCCGGAAGTTTTACAATCTTTTCTGTTAAATTGATCCCAAAGCGGGGTTATTGGGAAGTGAAAATATATTTGGATGGTGTCTCCTTCTTGACAGTCATAAAATCAACTAAAATCTTGGCGCCAAAGTGGTCTCAGGCTGTGTCCTTGGTGACAGACTGCATGGAACATGCCCTGACCGCCTGCCACCCCCGCACCCGATACTCAGCTGGCTGGGATGCCAAGCTCTTCTACCTCCCCATGAGCTACATGCCCTCCTTCTTGGTGGACGCCATCTTCTACTGGAGCTTCCCAAGGCCCGCCAAGGGCCTGTAGCCCAAGCCTGGGGTGCTGGTATGGTGAAGCTGAGCTCAGTGTGAGGGAGGGATACACAGGGGGAGGGAAATAGAGTGGGGAGAGGGGCTCTCATGTCACTAGGGGAACACATTTCAGCCCGCTCCCTCCCTCCTCCCCAGTCTTCTCCTGGGACATTACTCAAGAATCTGGGGGTATAAGGAGGAAAGAACCAAATTGTATAGCTGAGGAACTGGGACCCATTGCACACGTTATCATCTGATCCTTAAGAGGCCTCTCAAGGCTCTGAGCCTCAGGGCTCTTCTGCCACCCTCAGGATCCACACTTTACAGAGATTGTGAGCAGCTGGGGGACACTCAGCCTCACCTGAGCCTGCTCTGACTCTGTCCTCCTCGTCAGTTGTGCCTTGGCCCTGGCATGTCTTCTGCTCCCACAGGATGGAAAGGCCTGAAGAAGGTGAAGTCTCTTCTCCACTGAAGACATCTGTGGACAGAGGTGGAGGTGTGGAGGGTGACCAACAGCCTGACCCCTCAGCCTCAGGTCCAAGTCAGCAGACCTTGCTGGAAGGTGGTGTGCTCAATAGGGTTCCTGACAGAGGACACAGAAATCAACTTTTGATTTGTCTGGAAAGCATGGATTTCCATTCCTTATCTTTGCTTTAAAATAAAAGTTGAAAAGTTTACCTTGGCCCAGTGATTGGAAGCGTGACCTTGGGGAGCGGTGGGGTGTGCGTCTGTGAGAGAAAGAGTGAGGTGATTTCACAGAGGTCAAGGGATGAGTGGGATGAGCTGAGGAGGCATTGGACAGAGAAGTTAGGTGACTCCCTCCCTTCCACACAACTAAGGGGCTGAAGTTTCCCTTCCCAGATTTATCAAGTATCATAGAGTCAGAGGATTAGACACGAGGATGGACAAAGAAGGAGAGGTGGCTCAGGCACTGGCAGACCCTTCCCTGGGGACACCAAGCCTCTCTCCTCACCAGCACCCTGTCTCCATGTCTCCCTCTCTGTCCTCTCCTTTAGAGTCACCACCCTCCATCCCCTGCCATCACCAGGTTTCTCAGCCAGGATCCCCTCCCCACGCTCTCCAGAGGGGGAGAGGAAGAGTCCCTTCTGAACCCAAGTCTTTCCTTTTCTGCCAACGTTTGTTGAGCCCCTACTGTGCGCTGGGTAGAAATTCCCCTAACGAACATGTACTTCCTGAGGCCCGGCCTCTCTCTGTCTCCACTGTTCCGATGATGTTCTGAGAAGGGACTCCACAGGGGAGGCATTTGCAGAAAGTGATACAGCTTCCTGGGCTGAGCACAGATTGGAGTTGGCAGGGACCTTGCCAGGTGTCTTAGTTTTTCTCCTTTAGAGTAACATTGACGATATGGAGTCCTCCCGGGTCCCTGAAGTTGTAGAACCATGTCAGCATTCTTCATGAAAACAAAAGTGAGCTCCCAGGTGGCAGGGCCCTTCATTCTCAAACCTGTAGTGAACACTTGGTGTCGGACAAGAGACTGCTGAGGACACAACGATGACGGGGAGGATCCTCAAGGATCTGCAAGTCCTCCAAAGTTCTGGTGTCCACTCAAGGTCAGTCCATGTCCCCCAGGCCAACCGAAAGCAAGAGTGTGATGCTTGATCTCAAGTCTCCAGGTTTTCATAAGACTGTGCACACACACACACATCCCTTAACACCAAACAAACTGAAATAAAATAAAAGATGATTCACTTTATAGCCTTGAGGGTATGTGTTTAGGAGGTTTGGATTCACCCCTAGCAGTTGTCTGCGCAGTGTCATAGAACTGTGAGCTTACAAACCCCTGCCCCTCCTTGTTGGGCTGTATGTGGGGGACCATCTGGGTGCCATGGCCACAAGTGTGAAGTGGGATTCAAAGGTGCGAACCTAGACACGGCGGCACACCAATGGCTTTGAATAAAATTCCAACGCAAACCAGTCCAAGTCTTAAACGTAGACCATTAGCATCACCTCATCCTCCTCCTTCTAGGCTTCTTTCCATGGAGAGGGAGGCAGGTCCAGTCTGATGGAACTGTGCAGGGCCTGGCCCCATGCCATGACAGTCCTCGGGGTTGTCCCAAGGAAGCTGCCCTCACTCCTTTTTCCCTTTGCTGTCCTGGCCTTTTCTGAGGAGTACAGTGTCAGTGACCCCCCCACTTACAAATCCCATCCCCTCCAGGTGACAGATGCTTGGCACCTGAAGATAGGGGTGTGTTTCTGCATTTCTGGGACCCACTCCAGGTAATGGGGCTGCATACAAACTTGCTGGAAACAAACTTGCAGAATTAACTCTCACTCCCTGCCCTTTCCATGCTCCCCTTTCCTTTAGCTACACTTCCTCTTCTTCTGAAGACCCATACTGGGAGGAGAAGAGGGAGGGAGTAGGTGGGCGGAGGACACTCAGACTCTTGACAAAGGTCCCGGCTGAGACTCTGCAGGGTGCCACCAGGGGGCGCAGCTTCCTTTCTCGTGCACGGAGGCTCACTGGTGCTGTCCTTTGACCCGGCGCTGCTGCCCCTCCCCAGGGCCTCGGAGAGGATCTCTGTGTCAGGAGGTGTTAAGTGAGATCTCAGTGCAGAGATTGACGGCAGTGGCTCTGCATCCCGTGGGACCTTTCGAAGGATTTCTCGTTCTGGCCCCTGCAACTCCAGGGTGAGTGAGTGTCCCCCCCCAAGCTCCTGTTTTCTCCGCTCTCTCTGAAACTTCCTGTTTGTTCCCATCTGGAATGACCTCAAACTCCTTCATGACCCTAACACCAGGGCTGCTATCCCTCTCAGGATTCATGAGAGTGACGTAGCAGGCGTGAGGGCTGACAAATGTCTCTGCTGCATGGCCTCTTGGGAATTTATGGTTGAAGGAATTTCTGGTCACTGACAAAATGTCCCCAGTTCCTCCCCAGAAACCATGACCTTCTCCCTTGTCAGGGTTTGGTGTCCTGTAAGAATTTGTGCGTCTCCTTGGCCCCGTGAGGGTTTCCCGGGCTCCTTCCTTCCTCCTGGCCTGCTTCCTCCCCCAGCCTTCAGGAAGCCCTTGTCGGAAGGTGCAGTCACCCAGGAAGCAGGGACAGGCTGGTTTCGGCAGGACCAGCCTCTGTCAGGCTGCTGCTGCCTCCCACCTTGAGGGACAGGCTCCCACAGGCCTACAGGTGGATCCCTGCATAGAAAGGTTACAACTGAACGTGAATTTGTGCCCTTGTCTGTCTTTCTTGCCTGCTTGGGTGGGTCTGGGGCCATTTGAGCCTCTGGTTTCTGAGGGGCAGCCTCTCCTTTGCCCTCCCAGGGCCTCTCCTCTTTCCTACTTACCAGTCAGAGCTGTGACAAATGTGGACGGTGAGGGAGACGCCCAGAGCAGTGACACTGGCTCCTGTCCCTGCCCCACTCACCAACTCTGTTTCCCATGCTGTGCCATCCCCTTTTATGAAATGGTGTCCTCCACCTCAGCACGAAGCCCCTCCAGGGAGAGCTGTTGTGAACCCCATTTCTAGTCCTTTCTTTAGTCTCCTGAGGGGGCAGCTCCCTCCTCCTCTCCATCATCCTCTGAGACCAATGGAACTAATACCCATTCAATTATTGGGGTTCACATCCCTGCCTGCTGGGTGAGGTTTGGGGCACTGTGTGCATTTGTCCCTGTTCGAGTCAGTCTTTTCTGCCTATGGAGTCTGTGTCTGAGTGGTCTGGGCTCTGGATGAGCTTCCTGGTGGGAGGGACACGGTCAGAGGGCAATGTAACCAGGGACCCAGGGGCACCTGGGGACAGGACCACTTCACTGAATAAATGAGAGCTGACTGTTAGACCCACTTATGTCACTGCCTCGATTCAGCCCTCCAGCATCTCGGAGAAGCCGCACAGCTGCGCATGTCCACCCCCACTGCCTCTTCTCCCCTTTCTTTGCCTCTGACCTCACACACCCCCTTTTCCTTCTCCTTCTAACCCTAGAGAGGCTGACAGTGACTCAGATTTCTGAGGCGAGGGTGCTGTGTGCCGAGCCCTCTGAGGAAACCCAGGCCCTGAGAGGGTGCTGAATGTAAGTGTGTTAAATCCAGAGCGTCTTCCCACGAAGAACCTTCCTGAGGTCGGGAAGATCGAGCCCAGCATGTTGGCAGACGAGGAGAAAGAGTTCTGACCTCTGAACCTAGAACGGAGTGGCCTGTGCCGCTCAGTGTGTGGCACCTGGACGCAGAGAGCAGAGGGAGTGAGGGGCCTGGGGCAGTGGGGCGGACAGTGATGCTTTCTTTCTGCGCAGGAGTTGGGATTTTCAAGGGTCACATCGTCAGCACTTGCAAAAGCAGTCCAAAGGGCAGATAGGTATGGAGAGAATAGAATGTTCCAGAAGGACAGTGATCAGAAGGGCAATTGGAAACTTCATGCCAGTGAGCCCGGAGGCCACACTGCCAGCACAGCCTCCTGATCGAGAAGGCCTACTCTTCTGATCACAACCTGTCTCTGTCTGTCCCCTGCAAAGCCATGTGGCTGTACCTGGCAGTCCTCGTGGGCCTGTACTACCTCCTGCGCTGGTACCGGGAGAGGCAGGTGGTGAGCAACCTCCGAGACAAGTACGTCTTCATCACGGGCTGTGACTCGGGCTTCGGGAACCAGCTGGCCAGGCAGCTGGACCTGCGAGGCTTGAGGGTGCTGGCCGCGTGTCTGACGGAGAAGGGGGCCGAGCAGCTGAAGGACCGGACATCAGACAGGCTGCAGACAGTGATCCTGGATGTGACCAAGACAGAGAGCATCGCTGCAGCCACCCAGTGGGTGAAGGAGCGCACAGGGGACAGAGGTACCACCCAGACTTCTCGGGTCTGTTTCTCTTCTGTCTGTGAAGGGAGACTTCTTGTCTGCTGCTGGGAAAGATTCCCGACGTGTTTTCCAGGACTTGAGGTCATACTCCCTTTCTTTTCCTCACGTGGCTCACCAGCCAAGCCTCTTGTCTTTCCTCTGTGCCCTCTTCCCTTCCTCGGAGCTCTGGAGGTTTGGGGAGAGCTGCCCTGATAGAATTTGCCCTTCCAGACTCCCTGTCTGAGGTACCCCCTCCTCTCTTGGCAGAAGTTCTGCATTTCTTGATGCTGAGCGCCCCGGGGGAGATCAGAACCCACTTTCTGGAGGATGAGTGGAGATGGGGCACTGACCCCCAGGCTTGTGTGGGCGGCTGGGGCAGTGCTGGAGCCGGGCTCCTGTTCTCAGCACTGTACCATGTTCTTGCTGGGGACCCATAATCCTCCCCCAGGGAGTCACTGTCACACCCATATCAGATGATGACACTGAGCTTTCAGGATTTGCTAAAGGAGGTAAAAAATGCTACTATGGGGTCACTTCACTCTGTCTCTCTCTTTCTCTCTGTCTCTCCTTCTTAAACTAAAATTGCCGCTTATTATGGGGGAGTAAGAGAACATTAATTTCTTTCTTCTAAGTATAAATGTAAATCATGATAATTGTGAAAAACACAGAAAAGTACGAGATCAAAATGAAACTCACCCACAATCCACCACCAGAGACAAGTCCTGGGAACCTTTTGACATAGACGGTATTAAATTGTCATGAAGTGTATCCAATTCTTTTCATTGAAAGAAGATGAGCATACTATAGCATAATGGAAATTTCTTCAAAAACTTAATTTTGGCGGGCTGGCCCAGTGGCGCAGCAGTTAAATTCGCATGTTCCGCTTCTTGCTGGCCCGAGGTTTGTCAGTTTGGATCCCTGTTGGGGACATGGCACCGCTTGGCAAAAGCCATGCTGTGGTAGGAGTCCCACATATAAAGTAGAGGAAGATGGGCATGGATGTTAGCTCAGGGCCAGTCCTCCTCAGTAAAAAGAGGAGGATTGGCAGTAGTTAGCTCAGGGCTAATCTTCCTCAAAAACAAACAAACAAACAAAACACCAAACTTAATTTTGAAGGGTTGAGAATATTTTATCTTTTTGCATAGCATTACTTACTAATGCCATTCCTCATGTAACATATGAATTTTCTCCCAACATTTATTCATCACGTTCAACATACCTCATGTCTTGGTGAACTTCTTTACCCAAATCTCTCTGTGTAACCGTGCATATTGACTGGGTTCTTAGAAGCACCATGTCTGCTGGGAGAATGTGAGCCCTGGAAGGGCAGCCTGTTTCTGAGCAGGAGAGGGACTCAACTCTCTGGGTCCATCCTGTGCCCCCCGCAGCCCCAACTCCCCTGAATGCCTGCTCCTGCTGCCCCGAGGGCTGTTGGTGGGTAGCTCTTCAGTTTCTGTCCCCAGAATCGCATCCTTGAGTCCTGCAGGGAGGTTTCCAGGAGGCTGGGTGAACTGAGGGCCGAGGGGGAGGGTCGAGGGTGGCCTCCTGTGCGGGTGGGAGGAGAGGGGGCATTTTCTGGTGCAGAGGGTGAAGTCTGTGCATGGAGGGTGGGGGTGAGACAGCCTTGCCTCCCCCCATGGGCTGCCCCTTGGAATTGAAGCCCCAGATCCTATAGAAACAATGATCATTCTTGCTGCAGGTGTTTCAATGCTGGTCACTGAGATCTCCCCCTGCCTGTTCTCAAATTTCCCCCACCTGGGGTTTCAGGTCTGCTTTACCCAACCAAGCTCTACCCAGATTTTAGCTGTGTTTTCTTTTCTTTTTCTGTATTATCCTCTGTCTTTTTCTTCTTCTCTTCCCCTCCATTCCTCGTTTTCTGTCTGTGTGTGTCTCCTTCCCCCACAGATATTTGTTGCACCCTCACTAAAGAAGCTGTCCAGGAAATCTGAAAATGTAGGTGAACATTTATAGAGTCTGTAGGACAAGATTGATGTGAGAAAAACGAAACCATCACTGTCCATATTCCAGTCTATTTAAATGCTAAATTCCTCAACCTCCTTCCCCGACTTCATCAAATGTGGGGTGATGGCCCATTGTGTACCATGCCGTGACCAGATCATGAAGAATAAACTACTTTCTGTCCTCCAACACCTTAGAGGGTATGCACCCCAAACCTTGAAGGCAATGTGTTGTTATCTGTTTCACCCACTCCCCATGCAACTTCTTTTCGAATGTCTTCACTTGATCGGAAGGTGAATTGGAACCACAGCTGTGTCTTCACTCATGGGCATAATGCAGTCTTGCTTTCTTGTCCCCACTGTGCCCAGGACTGTGGGGCCTGGTGAATAACGCCGGCATTGCCGTGCCTGTGGCACCCAATGAGTGGCTGACCAAACAGGACTTCATGAAGATCCTCAACGTGAACCTGCTGGGGGTGATCGAGGTGACCCTGAGCCTGCTGCCCCTAGTGAGGAAGGCGCGGGGCCGTGTGGTCAACGTCTCCAGCGTCATGGGCCGGGTGTGCCTTTTTGGTGGGGGCTACTGTATCTCCAAGTATGGCGTCGAGGCCTTCTCAGATTCCCTCAGGTACTGGACTGAGACAAAGGCCCTCCCTCTCTCCTCCTACTTCTGTGCTTTCAAGAAAGCCTTTCAGAAACTCTTTCTTCCAGAACATTCTCTCTTGCTTTATGCAGGTCTTTCTTTTGGAAGCACCTTTTTATCTCTTGGGTGTCATGTGGGGTCCCAGGCCTATCAAGTTTAATCCACCCTATCCTTGCCCTGGAGGAGGGCCCCCATCAGAAAGCATCTGAGGCAGAATTGATATCAATATAATTTGGCTGTGGAGCCCAACCATATACACATCTTATGGTGTGAGGTCTTACAGCCTTGTTGGCAGTGGATCCCCATGACACAATTTAATCAGGGGAGCTACTTCATCAAATCAGTGGGAGAGATTCCACTGGCTGCAGAGCAGAGGATGGCTCTGAATGTGGGGGAGCTGCGACCTAATAGAGATCCTTTTTACAGGACAGATGGTCAGGGAGTTGACTAGAGCAGGAGAGGGGAGAGACGATTGAGGTGTGTGGGAAACATAAATGGGCAAAGCCTCATGATGGGTTGAACTTGGGGGAACTCGAGGAGAGAACATGTAAGTGGTGCCTTGCACCACCTGCAGCAGAAGTGGTGGGATTTAGAGCTAATAAGCATGTGTATGGAAAATGTTTGGAAAAATATTCAAATTCTATACAGAGGCAATACAATCATCATAAGTTTTCTCCCCCTGGCTACTGCACTTTTCAACTCCCCAGACTTTCGAGCTCATCCCACCACAATCCTATGTTGGTGTGTTACTGTTTTTTCACATGTTTTTGTGTTTTATTTTGCAAGACCTCTGATGTCCTTGCCCCTCTGCCTGTCTGCCTTGCAGGAGGGAGCTCTCCCACTTTGGGGTGAAGGTAGCTATAATCGAGCCAGGTTTCTTCAAGACCACTGTGACCAGTACCAAGGTGCATTCTCAGGAATTCCAAGAGGCATGGGACCGGGCCAGCCCAGAGATCAAGGAGATCTATGGGGAGAAGTACCTGGCATCCTGTGAGTGAGTTGTGGACACTGGGGAGATAAGCAAACCTTTGTTTTGAAGCCTGGGTCCACCATTAGTGCCTCCTCAGATCTCAGGTCCATCATCTATGTCCATTCACAGTGGGGACATTTAGCTCCATCCTCATAATCCCGTGTGGTCAACTGGTAACCTAGGGAAAGGACACAGGCTTGTTATACCTGGGGACCACTGTCTCATGTGAACCCCTTGTTAAGTAGAGGCAGAAACTGAAGCCAGCGAGGGAAGACACCCCTGGGCTCATGGCACACTGCTGTTAGAGCAGCTGGTTTTCAGGTGCTTGGATTTCTTGTGGTTGTAGAGACTTCTAGTTTATGTAGTCCAGATATTCCCAGGAATAGAGCCAGAGGAATCTCAGTGTGGAACGTTTGTACCTGGGGTAGAATCAGGGCTCTTCCTGGGGAATTTGGGTGGATTTGATTTGGGGGGGGGGGGGTCCAGGAATTCTTAAAAACTTCACTCCATAAGTTGATCCCAAAGTGGGAGTGGTTGGATGTGGGAATACATTTGGATCTTTCTTATTCTGGACAGGCATGAAATCAATTAAATTGTTGAAGAAAAGTTACACGGAAGATCTTTCCTTGGTGACAGACTGCATGGAACATGCCCTGACCGCCTGCCACCCCCGCACCCGATACTCAGCTGGCTGGGATGCCAAGCTCTTCTACCTCCCCATGAGCTACATGCCCGCCTTCTTGGTGGATGCCATGATCGACTGGCGCTCCCCAAAGCCTGCCAAGGGCATGTAGCCCAATACTTGGGTGCACAGTATGGTGGACTTGGGTACTATGTGAGGGAGGGATGCATCAGGGGGAGGGAAATAGAGTGAAGAGAGGGGTTCTCATGTCACCAGGGACACCCATCTCACCTCCCTCTCTACCTCCTCCCCAGTCTTCTCCTGGGGCATTACTCAGTACTCTGGGGATGTTAGGAGGAAGGAACCAAATTTGACACCTGAGGAACTGGGACCCAATAGCACATATGTATGTCCTCTTGCTTGAGTGGCCTCTCAAGGCTCAGAGCCTCATGACTTTCCTGCTACCCCGAGGAATCCACACTTTTGGGGAGTGTGAGCAGTTGGGAGACACTCAGCCCCTCCTGAACCTGCTCTGCCTCTGTCCTCCTCCCCAGTTGTGCTTTGGTCCTGGTCTGTCTCTCCCTCCCACGGGATGGAAAGGACCTGGAAGAAGTGAAGTCTCCTCTCCACTGAAGACATCTGTGGACAGAGGTGGAGGTGTGGAGCGTGACACCAGCCTGACCAATCAGCCTCAGGTGCCAACTCACTAGGGAGGCCTGCCATGTGAGCTTATGACCATTCCTACCCCTGAGAGGTAGAGCCTCTATGGGTCCATTGGAAATCAATAGGCACGGTAAATGAAGAGCTGCGTGTGAAGATGCCTTAATCTATTGTTCTAAATGTGAAACAGATCTTTATTGTCCAAAGAAATGCCTGAAGGCTTCTAGTTCCCTTTATTTGAATGTAATATTTTAGCCAATTTTCCAAAATTGCTAACATATTCCAACTTAATCTAAAGTTGCTTGGCCCCATGGCCGAGTAGTTAAGTTCACGTGCTCTGCTGCAGGCGGCCCAGTGTTTCGTTGGTTCGAATCCTGGGCGCGGACATGGCATTGCTCATCAAACCACGCTGAGGCAGCGTCCCACATGCCACAACTAGAAGGACCCACAACGAAGAATATACAACTATGTACTGGGGGGCTTTGAGGAGAAAAAGGAAAAAAAAGTTGCAATAGAACCAGCATGAAAACAGTTTTTGGTATTTTATTTATTTTTATTTTTTAGTATTTTTGTTCCTCATCTTTATAATCAAGACTCACTGCTTCTTATCATCAGTATTTATTGAGCACTTACTGTGTACCAGGCACAAACACACGCACAAATCGTTTTTCCTTCTCTAGAGGAACGTATATCCTAAAAGAACAAAAAATACACCTCTCTTAATATGTCACCACATATATATCACTTATTGGTGTTTACTGAGGAAATATTCTGTAGGGTGGTTTTTTAAATAATTTAGCCTCATCATGTTTTAGAGAATCGAAGAAGAAGAAAGATTTAAAGGTAGTCAATGAGAGACCATTCAGGACAGGTGGATGTGGTAGGCAGGATAATCGCCCTTCAAAGATGTCCATGTCCTAATTTCTGGAACCTGTGAATTTATTGCCTTACCTGGCAAAGGAGAATTAAAATTGGATATGCAATTAAGATTGCTTGATGTGAACCTGATGGGGGTGATCCAGGTGACCCTGAGCCTGCTGCCCCTAGTGAGGAAGGCAAGGGGCTGCGTGGTCAATGTCTCCAGCGTCTTGGGCTGGATGACCCTTTTTGGTGGGAGCTACTGCATCTCCAAGTATGGCGTCAAGCATTTCTCGAACTCTCTCAGGTATTAGACTGGGACAGAGGCCCTCCTTCAGTCCTCCTCCTTCTGTGCTTCCAGGAAAGCCTTTTCAGAGGCCCTTCCTTCCAGATCCCTCTCTCTTGCTTTGTGCCAGGCATTCACTGGGAAGCACTTTTTAATGTTCTGGGTGTTGAGAACAGTTTGATTGAACCTATCCCTCCCCTGGAATTGGAAAGTGTCTGAGGCAGAATTGGAACTGGGGTAAAGTGGCTGTAGAGACTGTGTCCATAACCCATGTGACATTCAGCTCAGGGAGCCCTTGAGGTGGGAGTAGAGTATTTGAGTCAATTCAACAAACACTTCTTGACACCTCTGTGAGTGCACAATAAATATGTCTGAGGACAAGAAGATTTGGTCCCTGACCTAAAAAGCCTGACAGCTGAGAAAAGGACAACAGATGCAGAAATGTGGCCATCTCTCATGATGGTGGTGACCAAGTTAGCTATGTTGGCTATGGTGCCATAGGAATGAAGGGAGGGATCTGGAGAAGGGTCTGACCTGAGTATGAAGAACTGAACTTGGTTCAGGTGTGAGAAATAGGGTGTGAAGTCTTCCTGGATGAAGGAATGATGTCAGGCAAGCCCAGGGTGAGTAATGGTTGAGTGCCTATGCCGCAGTGCCATCCAGGGGTAAAGGACAAGGCCCTGGCTGGCAGGAGGGATGCTAACCCCATGGAAGGGATTTAATCAGGGGAGCTACTTTGTCAAATCAGCATCTACAGAACCCACTGGCTTCAGGGAAGAGGATGGCTCTGAATGTGGGGGAGCTGGGACTGCGGGCAGAGAGAGGTTCCTTAGGGCACAGATGGCCAGGCAGTTGACTAGAGCAGGAGAGGGGAGAAAGAGGATTGAGGAGAGTGGAGGAAGTATGATGGGCAAAGTCTAGAGATAGATTGGATGTGAGAGGACTCAGGAGGAGAGAGTAATTAAGGGATGACTTGTAGTAGAATAGGTAAGATTTAGAGCTAATAATCACATGTAAGTAAAATATGTGGAAAGACGTACAAACCTTATACAGATACTATGCCATCATCATCATTTTTCTCCCCCTGGCCACTGCACTTTGAAACTTACCAAGCTTTTGAGTTCGTGTCACCCAAATCCTGTGTTGGGATTGCATCGTTTCTGTTTGCTTGTTTGTTTGTTGTATTTTGTCTCCCAAGGCCTCTGAAGTCCTTGCCCCTCTGCCTGTCTGCCTTCAAGGAGGGAGCTCTCCCACTTTGGGGTGAAGGTGGCTACTATCCAGCTTAGTTACTTCAAGACCGGCATGAGTAGGAATGAGAGTTGTTTCACATGGCTTCCCTGAAGAATGAGATTAGGCAACCCAGAGGTCAAGGAGATCTGTGGGGAGAAGATCCTGGATCCTGTGAGTGAGCTGTGGACCAAGGAGAGAGAAATAAAACATTGTCTGGAAGCCTGGGTCCATCATCAGCGCCTCCTGAGGTCTCAGGTTCATGCTTCAGGCTCTGAATCACCCACACAGTGGGGACTTTTAGCTTCGTCCCATGGTCCCATGTGATCAACTGGTAACCTAAGGAAAGGATCCAGGCTTGTTAGACCTGGGGACCACAGGCTCATCTGAACCCCTCACTATGTTGAGGAGGAAACTGAAGCCAGAGAGTGAAGACACTCCTGGACTCAAGGCAAGCTGGTAGAGCAGCTGGTTTTCAGGTCCCTAGATGTCGAGGGTTTGTAGAGATCTCCTATTTATGCAGTGCACATATTCCCGGGAATCAAGTCAGAGGAGGCCTAATGTGGAGAGTGTTCCCGGGGTAAGAGTTGGGGCACACTCCAATGACATCCATGGATTCCATTTGAGCATTATTTGGGGGCACCCAGGAATTTCATCTGCTTAGATTTCTAGTGTTTATGGAAACATCCAATTGATGTTGTGCAGATATCCCAGGAATAGAGCCAGAGGTGGCTTAGTGTGGAGCACTTGTTCTTGGGGTAAGAGTTGGGGACTCCACGGGGAATTTGGATAGGTTGGATTTGGAGCATATGTTTAGAGAAGCCCAAGAATCTTTGGAATTTTATTCCCAAACTAGAGCAGTGAATTGCAGAAGAGGAATGGGGAAGTGTATAAGGACCCTGTCTCATCCTGAACAGACATAAAAATAACTGAAAATATTTTGAAAAAAATGCAGATTGAATTTACCTTTACTGACAGACTGCACGGAACATGCTCTGACCGCTTGCTACCCCTGTACCTGATACCCACCTGGCTGGCATGCAAAGCTCTTCTACCTCCCCAAGAGCTACATGCCCTCCTTCCTGGTGGATGCCAGGAACTACTGGATATGCCTAAAGTCTGCTAAGGACCTGTGAAGCTAGGACTGTGGTGCCTGGGGGTCTAGTTGGGGTGCTGTGTGAGGAGTGATGTTTCACCGGGAGGGAAATAGGGTGGAGGGAGAGAGCTCTCCGGTCTCTAGGGCGATGTAGCTAACCCTCCTCCTCACCTCTGCCCCAGTTTTCTCCTGGGGACTCTGGGGATATTAGGAGGATAGAACCAAGTTTTGCAGCTGAGGAACAGGGACCTAAGGGCACACATCTTTGTCCTGTTACTTAAATGGCCTCTCCAGGGTCTAAGCCTCATGGCTCTCCTGCCCCCATGAAGAATCTATACTTTTTGGAGGGTATGAGCAGCTGGGAAGGGGACTCAGCCCCACCTTAGCCTGCTCTGCCTTTGTCCTCCTCCTCAGGGTGTGCCTTGGCCTGGCCAGTCTCCCCCTCCCCCAGGATGGCCTGGAGGAGATGAAGGCCCCTCTCTACTGAGGATATGTATGGACAGAGGTGGGGATGTGGAGGGCAACCACCAGCCTGACCCATAAGCCTCAAGTGCCAACTCAACAGGGAGACCTGTCATCTGAGAGTGGGTGGTATTCCCAGCCCTGGGAGGAAGAGCACTCTGTGGGGGTCCTGCAGCCTTCCTATCCCCTACTCCATGGCCTGCATTTTCTGACATCCGGAGTTTGAGCCCAGGGGAGCACTGGCTTGGCCAGCAGTAGGCAGAGAGGCCCATGAGATGGTGAGTCAGTCCCAGGCCTGTGTTGGGGCACTTCCAAGTCATCGTCTTCCAGATCCAGAGACAACACCTGGATCTCACTTGTTTTCTCAAGAACTGGGATACTCCTGTGCCTGCTCTGACTGCTCCCAGCCAAGACTTCCCTGTTCACTCACCCAGGAGGCAGAGTTGGAAGACGCCTCTCAGATCCAGTGTAGGAGGTGTTGTGCCTTGGGGTGGGTATGAAGTAGGTGAGGTTTTTCTTCATCACTTCCTACCTCCATCCCATACAGGATTAGTCTGCTCCCCTGGGGGAGGGGAGTCCACGATGTGACCTCCCACGCCTACCACCCTTGGTGTTGAATGGCCAAGCTCTCTGGCCTTTCTCCAGGTGACACTTGCTTTATCTAATTCCGGAGCTGACCAACCTTGGTAGGTAGGTAGGGGAGCATAGAGATGTACCCTTTTCTCTTCACTCTAGGGAAATTTGTGGCCCCGTTTCTGTGTCAGCCCTCTAGACAGGAAAGGTGTGGGCAGTTGGTTCCTCATCCCTCGTGATGAGCTGGTGACCAGGCTCGTCCTGAGGCATGGTGACCCTAGAGGTTTATCAAAAAGACCACCATAGACTCCAGCATCATTATGTCCCTGCATCTTATGCAAGCCTGGCCATGGCTCCTACTACTCACACATTTGTCTCATTTCCTTACCAGCTTCCTTTCTACCTTTCTGTGAGTTCTTTGCCCCATTTTCTGGAATCTCTCCCTCCCCTCCGATTTTCCAAGTCTCTGGCCCCAGTCCTCTGTTCCTCCCATACCTCATCCCCACTCAGAGCCAAGGACTTGGCCCCAGGCCCTTCCTACAGCTACCTTAGAACTCATGACCCATCCTCATCATCTGGCTGGATCTTGTCTCAATCATGTTCATGTCAGAACTCTCTCTTTTCCCTTCTTCCCTCACTATGCCTTAAGTGTCCCCTCTCCTGATTTCTCTTGCCATCTGTGGTTCTACCTGTTATTAGCCCCACACCTTAGAATCACTTTGACTCCTGCCCTCCCCTCCCTCTGCACACCTAATTAGCCACTGAGTCAGTTGTCTTCATAGTCCCTTCCACTGTCACCACCCCTCTTCAGGCTCCTTGGCTCACCAGATCACCTACTGTGTGCTTGGTCCTGGGGGTAAAAGGAAATGCCCACTGGGGGCCCTGCCTTGGGGGAGCTGTTGTGTCCTCAGTCCTTGATTCCCTCCACTTGCGTGGTCACAGGGTAAGGGCAAGAACTGGGGCTTCTTGGAGTGCTGTGGCGGCTCCTCATTGGTGGCCTGAGTATCATCTCCCGAGGACCCAGGCCCTGAGTCCCTCAGCCTTTCTGCTTCCTGGGAGTCGGAATCTCACCTCAGTAGCCTCCCTTATAGGAGGGCCCTGCTGCCTCTGGCCTCAGGACAATGGAGGCACATCCATCCTGGGGGAACCCTTTGTTTTTCCTCATCTCTCGTAATGCAGAGAGATTCTTACCTAAAGGCAGAGAATTCCAAAGAGCTAATAACCTGGAACTCATTTCTCTTGGGGTTTGGAGGGCACAAAATCAATTTTGTTTGTTTTACATTAATGAATTTGTCTTCATTTTTTTTCCCTGAAAATAAAAATTAAATTTATTTACACACTTGGACTCATGACAAATGATTTTGATCCCTGGGTCAGAGGTGGAGAATTTTTAGAAGAGCTCTCTGGGCTGAGTCCTCCTTTGTCCTTTGTCATTTGAACTGCTCAGACCACCCAGGTGAGCCATCTCTCAATTCCAACATCACCACTGCCGTCTTTCCCTACTTGGCACCTTCTCCCATCAGGGCTAGGGGAGAGAGAGGCATCCACCAGGGCTGTCCGAGGTGACACAGCTTCAGGTTGGACTTGAATTTCTTGCATCTAGGCTAATTGGTGTGGTGATGCATCCACCTATAAAAATTATAGAGTGGCTCACTCAGGGGCCTTGCGTGTGTCACCAGCGGTGGAAGGGAGGAGAACTGTTCTTCTCAGTGGGTTCCAACAGACTGGGGCTCAGAGAACCAGCCTCTCCTGCTGTCTCCTGAGCCTGATCCTTCTTGGCCATCACCTCCCCCTGCCCTATGGCAGCTCTCACGGACCTCTCCTTTATGTACCGCTGGTTCAAGAACTGCAATCTGGTCCGCAACCTCTCAGAGAAGTATGTCTTCATCACGGGCTGTGACTCGGGCTTCGGGAACCTGCTGGCCAGGCAGCTAGTCGATCGGGGCATGCAGGTGCTGGCTGCGTGCTTCACTGAGGAGGGGGCCCAGAAGCTTCAGCGGGATACTTCCTACCGGCTGCAGACCACTCTATTGGATGTCACCAAGACCGAGAGCATCCGGGCCGCGGCCCAGTGGGTGAAGGACCAAGTGGGCGAGCAAGGTGGGGTAAATTGCAGTCTTTGGCTTTCTCAGTTTGTCCTTGTTCTCTCTCTCCCCCAGGCCTCTGGCAGTTATCAGGGGTCCTGTTGTTCAGATGGGGCGGGAGAGGTGATGTAGAGAAAGGGGCTGGGGCTCTGGCTCGGTGGGATTGGAAACTGTTGCATGATTTGATCTGTCCACGTGAAGAGGTGATTTCCCGAGGAATTTTTCTGTCCTAGAAACGCAGAGGGATCAGAGGGAGGTTGCAATAAGAGCGGGGAGAGGGAAGATGTGTTCTGTGTGTCCAAACGTGTAAAGATGGAGTTGCCTCTTGGGGACTTCAGTAGTCCCGACCATCAGCTCCTATAGAAATGTGAGCACATTTCTTGTCGGGACCAGACTGGGGATAGGGTAAGAGAAAATGAAGTTGGCCTCCCTGAGTGGGGCATTTGCTCTCCTTGGCTGTGTCAGGCTAGAAGGCCGGGGAGAGAGAGACCTACGCTGCTCCTCACATCATGGTGGATAGTGAGTTGACCTCAGGGTAAGTCCAGACATCAGAGTGGCTGCTCCTATTGGAAAAGGAGGCTGTGTGTGTGTGTGTAGGGGGGTGGGTCAGGACTGCATGGGGACATACCTAGGAAAGCTTCCTGCACACAGAATGTGGGCAGGGGAACGAAAGGAACAGGGTGGCTCTGTTGTAGAAGCAGCAGCCTGGGGGAAGTCCTGACTCCTAAGTGAACTAGTCTGGGGTCCGTGTGTACAGGTAGGGGCAGGAGAGCCCTGGGCTCAGAAGGGGCCAGGCAGTAACACCTTGCTTTGTTTTTCTCCTTGGCATTTACCACTATCCTATACACAATATATTTTACTTATTTTTCTTGCATATCGTCTATTTCCCCTGCTAGGATAAAGCTTCCTTGGAGGGCCGGGCTTTTTGTCTCTTTTATTGACTGCATATCCTTAGTACCTAGAACAGAGTCTGGTATCTAGTAAGGTGCTCAAATAAATATTTGTTCAATGAACTAAGTAATGAAGAATTCAGCAAGAGTGAGTCTCTTTTTTTCAGCAGGCTGCCTCACCCAGCAACCCACATTCAGCCTTGGGCCACTTACGTTAATGAGCAACCAAGTATATTAGTTTCCTGCTGCTGCTGTAACAAATTAACACAAATTTAGTGGTTTAAAACAATGCAAGTCCATTATCTTTTAGTTATGGAGGTCAGAATTCCAAAATAGGTCTCCCTGGGCTAAAGTCAGGTGTCTCCAGAGCTGTGCTCCTTCTGGAGGCTGGAGGGGAGAATCCATTTCACTGCCTTTTCCAGCGTCTAGAGGCCGCCTCCATTCCTTGGCTTATGACCCTCTTCCTCCATCTTCAAGGCCAGCAAGGTCGGGCCGAGTCCCTTTCATGCTGCCATCTCTCTGGTTCTCTGTCTTCTGCCTCCCTCTTCCACTTAAAAGGACCTTTGTGATTATGTTGGGCTCACCAGGTTAATCCAGATGAATCTCTCCATTTTGAGGTCAGTTGATTAGCAACTTGAATTCCATCTGCTATCTTAATCCCCCTTTCCCATGTAATCCACCATAGTCACAGGTTCCAGGGACTAGTACGGGGATATCTTTGGGGGCCATTATTCTGCCTACCCCATTGGGAGACACTCTTGGTCTAAGAAGCCCTGGGAAATGGGGAGAGGGGCTCTTACATGCTTTCTTGTTGCTCCTGAGAGTCTCTGGTCACGGCAGGTTGGCACAGCCCTGAAGCTGTTCACACGCTCTGACAACTCTCTAGCTGCTCTTTGCAGGAAAAAAAATTAAGGTTGCCTGATTTGCCAGCAGGCAGAGCCGTTTACAGGGGATGGTCAGAGGAAGTGGTGAGTGTGTGTCCTTTCTCCACAGGCAGAGACCACTTGGGTTTTATAGTCTTTGGATCTCAGGAGCCTCATTTCCTCTTCTGCAAGATGAGAAAGCCCCCTCTAGCTGGAAAGGTTCTGAGTTCTGCCAGCCGGTTGGTCTCCTTGGGTCTCTCTAATTGGAGGAAGACAGGAAGATAGGATGGAGGCACGGCTTGTGTGTGGATCCCAGGCCTAGGGGGAGGCACCGTGAGTGGTGCTTACATCTAGACCTGCCCTCAGGAGAGAGTGGAAAGTGTGCCCAGAGGAATATCTTGAGGCTGCAGGGGTCAAGGTGAGGTGCTGGGATGCGGGGAGGGGAAGGCAGGGGGAGGAGTCAGGGCAGTGGGGATCATGGAATCCCTGAATAGAAGAGCCAGAAGGCATCCCTGGGGATCATTTAGAGACTTTTCCAATGTGTTTTTAGCATCAAATATCCTCCCCCAAGTGGAATTTTACTTGGAAGCTCAGTACATAACACAAATGAGAGTCGAGCTTCTGCATCTCCCTCTCTCAGCAGGTTCTGGAGTTCAACCTGGAAAGCTGTCAGGTTTGCAAACCACAGGATGGAAACAGCTGTTCTAGTCTAGTCGATGAAGAACCTGAGGCCCAGAGAGGGGAACTGAGTTGTTCAAGGCTGGAGGTCGAAGCAGGACTAGAACTTGAGGCTCTTCAAGCCTGGACCCCTGCAGAATTGAGTGGCAACACTTAGCGTTTTTCCTCTCCATTTATACCAACTCAAGTGAAATATCTCAAAGGAAGCCCTTATTACATTTCCCATAATTATTTTATTTAAATGTGTTATATATTTATGTATGAATATTATTTATTTTCCCTCTGGTTTGTGAGCTCCTGGAGGGATAAGAGCCTGTCTTGTTCATTTTCCATCGCCAGCACCTTCCTCTGTAGCTGCCAGAGGATGGATGCATGAATAAATGAATCAAGGGATGAATGTGCGAATGGATGACTATATGACTGATTTTGGCAATGTGTGAAATGGAGTTGGTTCCTTACACTTAGGTGGATAGAGAGAGGGAAGCAAGATGGGGGAGGATTTCAAACATTAATTCATTGGTATGAAAATGGTCTCTCTCTTCCCAGAGCTAATAGCTAAAGCCTGGATTACAGCTGGAAGAGGGCCCCAGCTAGCTGGCAAACTGTATGAATCAGAAGTGCCCCTTTAGGGAAAACTAGTTAGTGAAAGGCACATCTTCCTCTGGGCTGTCATAGCTCCCCACCCCATGCCCCCAGCCTGGCCGTCTTGTGCCTTGTGCAACTGCTCAACCATCCTTGGCAGCCCCGAGCTGCTGGGTAGTGGACCCTGGCACTTTTCCAGAGACACTGCTGATTTCTGTGTGGTTTTCTCTCCCTCCATCATGCCCCCAGGCCTCTGGGCCCTGGTGAACAACGCTGGTGTGGCCCTGCCCAGCGGTCCCAATGAGTGGCTGACCAAGGAAGACTTTGTGAAAGTGATCAACGTGAACCTGGTAGGACTGATTGAAGTGACCCTCCACATGCTGCCCATGGTCAAGAAAGCCCGGGGCAGAGTTGTCAACATGTCTAGCTCCGGTGGTCGTGTGGCTGTCATCGGTGGTGGCTACTGTGTCTCCAAATTTGGTGTCGAGGCCTTCTCTGACAGCATCAGGTGACTGGGCCCTGGTGCCAAACCACCCTGGGTGGGCATCCTGGGGGTTTCACCTCAGGAACAGAGGGCTGCAGGGGGATGGCATGTCGATAAAGTAGTTCTGGAGGAAACTGAAACAGAAGCAGGAGGAGGGCTAGTCTTCAGGGGGCCTTCCCCAAGGACCAGGAGAAGAAGGGACGAGGAGAAGAGGAAGGATGGTGATAGGAAGCTATCTTCCTGACTTCCCCTGAGCTATCTCAGAGTAAGCCAAACCCTTTTGGGCCTGTGGGAGTAGGAGAGAGAGCTACCAGACAGACAAAGAGGCCTGGGGGCGCTCATGCCCGGTGGAGACCCTCCAGGGAGGAGGCAGGCCTCGCATAGACCTCCTCACTCCCTTCTCTACATTCTTGCTAGGTGTGGGGCTGAGTGGGAGGGACCCAGTGGGAGGCAAAGCCTTGGTTTAGATTCTCTGTTGACTTCCTTCTTGCTGGGTTTTCCTAATGCAAATTGCCCAGAGACAGGCTTGGGAAACAGTGAGGCTCTAAGCCAGGGCTTATTTGCAAGAAGGCAATGCCTGGCCTGGTGCAGAGGTCAGGGGAGCACCTCCAGGTTATCCTGGGAGATAAGCCCCTCTAGAGGTGTCAGAGGTAACCCTCCCTGATGATCCTCTGTCATCTTGGGGTCCCAGACTGAGTCCGACTCTTCTTTCCCAGGCATGAGCTCCACTACTTTGGGGTGAAAGTCAGCATCATCGAGCCGGGAAACTATCGGACATCCATTCTGGGCAAGGAGGGCATCGAGAAGCGCATGCGAAAGCTGTGGGCGCGGCTACCGCAGGAGACCCGGGATAGCTATGGAGAGGAGTACTTCCGCGTCTGTGAGTTCCCCGGGAGGGAGAGGGGTCTCTGAGAGGAACAGGGAGATCTTAGGGGTCACTGACTAGCTTTCGTTTTACAAATGATGGGTTGGAGGGCTCTGAGGGGCCAAGGGCACATAGCTAGTGACAGAGTGGGATTTGAGAAGAGAGACCAAACGGGCATGTGCTGGAAATGGCAGAACCACAGCTGCTGGGGAGATGGGGGTGTTGGGAGAGGGGCTGCCCAGGGATGCTGCCCCCATGCCTGGGCACTGGCGCCTGCCCCCAACATATCATTATGCAGGGGAATCTGGTGAAAGTGCCCTGACATGAGTACAGAGAAATTACTAAGAGCACGGCTGCTTGGGCCAGACGGCTGGTTTGACTGCTGGTTCTGCCGTTTGCCAGCTAGGAGACTTTGGGCGTGTTACCTGGTCGCCCTCTGCCCCAGTTTTCTCCTCTATAAAATGGAGCTAATGATACCTCACAGGGCTGCTACGAGGGTTAATGTCTGTGAAGTGTCTTGCGCACACTAAGTGCTTGTTAAATCAATAAAGAGGCAAAGGAACACTTGAGTATTTAAAAGGAAGGGGCTCCAGGCAGTCCCCTTTCTCCCTGAGTACAGATCTCTATGAATTTCAGGTGTCTTTACAGGGTGGCGGAGGGACATCTCAGCCATTTCTATATTGCCTAAAAACTTGGTGCAGTCCTTCTAGATTTTTTTCTCTTATTTGGCCCCCATGAACATCTCTGAGAGGCAATTTACCATTGTGATTAAGCTCTTAGACTCTGGAACTAGACTGCCTGAGTGCAAATCTCAACTCTCCTGCTTGCCCTGGGCAAGCTACTCAGTTTTCAAATCTGTACTGAGTTATGAGAATTAAATGAATTAATATAGATAAAGGGCTTAGAATATTAGCTGGTCCCTGGTAAGAACAATTTGATTTAAAAGTTTGTTGTTTTTAGCCTCTCTTGGACTGAGTATGGCTTCTTTTTCTACATTGCACAGGTATCTACAAGCCATAAGTTCTTGTATTGCAAAGAGAGACCCTTAGATCATAATTACCCAAAATCCAAAGTGATGAATTTTTAAAATATACCCAGACACCCTGGATGGGCTAAATGTAACCATTCAGATCAAATCCATGACAGGGGATGGCTAACTGTCCAGGGGTGGGGCCTTATTTTAGTGACATGCATTCCTGGACATCATACATCAACAGAGTCAAAAGTCAAGACACCAAAACCATGACAGCCATTTATTCACTTATAATACACACTTTACTGAGAGCCTGCCACATGCCAAGCACTGTCTGGGGCTGAGGGGTGAGACAGGACCAAGTAGCCGAGTCACAGCTCACTGCCTGTAGCGCAAGGCCCGGTAGGGGAGACAGACCTTAATAAAAACGCACACGTTGAATGACAAATGTGGATAAGAGCCATGGAGAAAAACTCAGGGCTATGAACAAAGAAGGGGGTTGGGAGTGTGGCCCCAGTTTAGTTACGGCTTCGGGGAGGGCTTCTCTGAGTCGACTTCGAGGAAGAATAAGTCAGGCGTTGTTGGAAAGTGGAAAGCGGGGGCAGGCAGAGAAGTTGGTGCAGGAAGGCTCTGAGGCGGGTGACTCTTTAGAGGAACTTTAAGGATGCGAGAGGGTGGGGAGCAGGGTCAGGGAGCAGAGGGGCCCAGGATAAAGACACTGAGCATTATGTGATTTGTGATTAGGAAAGACTGCTCTGGTTGCTGCAGTATTCCAGGCTAGACACGTCGGTGGTTTGGACTAGAGAGAAGGTGGAGGAGATTGAAAGAAGTTGATAGACGTCAGGTGTGTGTTAGACCTACTGGTACTTGAACTAAGGAAACTGGTGGATGGAGGTATGATTCATTCATTGATTTAAGGAAGATTCAGGGGAAAATATTTGAAGAAGGATTCCTTGGAGAAAGTAATCTTTTGGTTCTGGACATACAAGAATTTTGTGAGGAGAAAAAAAGCTCTAAGATTTACATCAGCTGAGACTTTCTCAGTTGCAAGTGACAAAAAGGCCAACCCAAATTATTTAAGCAGAAAAGGAATTTCTTGACACTCTTGACTAAAGAGTTGAGGGAGATGGGCTTCAGGCACAGCCAGATCCAGCCCACAAATGATGTCATTAGGAGCTGGGTTCACCCTATTTCTCGCCTCTGCTTCTTTTGTCCTGGCTCCAGTCTCACAAGCTCTCTCCCCTGTGGAGTTCACATGGCTGCAGCATCTCCTCATCTCCTCCCAGGGATAGTCCTTTCCAGTAGCTCCCCAAAGGGCCTAAGGTTCAGTCTGACTTGGTGGGCCTATAATCAGGGCAGGATCAGATGGAACTGCAGGATGTACTCAACCCTGCGTTCATGACTGTGCCCAGGGAATGTGAAGGTCTGATTGGCTCAGCTGGGTCGTGTGCTGTGCCCGGACCAAAGATCACAGAGTGGAAGAGGCGTGGATCCCCAGAGAGAAATCTATAGCTGTTGCTCTAGACAGAGGACTAGATGTTGTGGAAGGGGAATGACATGTCCTCTGTGAGATCCCCCTAAAACGCTCCCTTAGTAAAAAGCAATCCAAATCATTTATGGGGCCACTAGGAGGCTGGGGCGAAACAAAGATTCAGTCAGGGTCTGGGAACCTCACAAGGCATCTTCCGAGTAAAGTAGCTCAATGCAGGCACACGTTGCCGAGCCTTCAGTGCGGGCCATAAAAGAGCCTCTTCCTCTGAAAGCCTCTTGTTGCAAAGGCGGTATCGTTCTTCTGAAGAACGGTAAGGATTGGGTTTATAAAATACCGTAGGCTGATTCCTCTGTCATCCACCTCGTGATTTCAGATGAAAATTTTCAGGCAGGTGTTTGACTACTTATACATAAAAACGTTTCCAAGTGAATATACTCTAATATGCATTTCAGTTGAGCTAGCGTTTCCTGGGGTAGAGAGATGAGACAAAGTCTCCAGGAATCTCGCAGGGCAGATCTGAAAGCAAATAGCACAGCACGTGGAGAACTGTGCAACAATGGGTGGCATACAAAACAAAGCAACACTACAGAGACTTAATTCTTCTGCCACAAAAGCTTTCACGGAGCTTTGACGATGGATGCCTTGGTGAGTTTTGAAGAGTGAATAGGAGTTCACCCATAGGGAAGGTGGCAGGTATTTCCCACAGAGGGAGGAGCATGAGCAGCATTCTGGAGACCTGACACAGCACGGCGTGCTTTTGGAGGCAGCGAGGATTCAGTCAGAACTTCAGTCTTCGTTAGAAAGTATAACTCCTCTCTCATGGCTCGTTAGGAGAATTAAACAAGAATGTAAAGGACTCGGATCAGCCATAAAATAAGAGTTCAACGAACCGAACCCATCTTTCTTGTTGCTGGTTTGGCCTGAGTGAAGTGCGAGGGGTGTTGGGCAATGAGGACGGGAGAGATTAGGAGTCAGATCATAAAAGGCTTTATGGCTCCACTAAGGAATGTGGCTCTTATCCTGAAGGCGTCGGAGTGTGCTGTGGGAAGGATGAGAGTAGAAACAAGAGACCATCTGGGAGGCAACGGCGGAAACTCAGTGCAGGAATGGACACAGGAAAGGTGATCGTGGGAAGTGTGTGTGTGTGTATGTGTGTGTGTGAGGCGGGTGTTGCAGGGGACTATTTCGGGAGGCTGGTGCTGTGGAGATGCACTGAAGACATCTTTCAGACTGGGCATACAGCACCACTGGGCACAAACTCCGGCAAGTTATTGTGGCCAACAAACAGGCCCCTGGATTGTGAGCCCCGGGGCCAAGTCGGGTATCGTGGAGTGATTTTTAACTACACCCAAAATAGAACCGGGTTGGAAATGGCTAGTAATAGCAACCTAAGGCGGGCACATTCTCACAGAAGCAGCATATGGAATCAGGGGACAGCCTGGGACCAGAGCACAGTGTTCCTGTCCTCACAGGCCTGGAGCTGAGCCACCGTCTGGCTTGGTTAGCTTTGCTTAGGGACAACAAGCCACCTGCCAAGGGCCTTTCTCCATCTCAAAGGCAGCCAAAAATTCCCCCTTTATTGTCCTTTCTTCCTGAGGAGGGACTAGATCAGAAGGCCAGAACGTGTCCCTGGCAAAAGGGACGGGGACAGAAACTGAACTGTTGGTCCATCCTAAGGGCCAAAGCTGGGCCTCTGCTGCTCTGTAGACTTCATCCTGTTTAATTCTTGCCAGAACCCAAAAGTTTCCTAGTTGCCTGAACCCAGAGCTTATGTTCTTCCTCACTGTCTAGGCAAGTGACAAATTAGGACCTCTGTCTCCCTTCCCACTCCGTGCCCAGCAGGGTTCCCAGCACAGAATAGGAGCTCAGTAAATATTTGAGAGAACAATGAAAGAATGTGCCTTATGCTACTTCCATGTCTCAGGTAGCTTCTTCCACCCCACTGCCCATGCGGGCCCTCCCCATCTTTCAGAGCCTAGTTCCAAAGCCATCTGTTCACATCTGCTTGCCTGGCCCTCATCAGCCCGTACAGCTTTCCCTGTGGCAAAGAGAGCACACTTGGCCCTGAGCACCTTGAACGAGTCCTTTGACACTTGCCTCCCTGCCTGGGACCTGCTGGTGCTGGACTCTGTGTCAGGCCAAAGGATGGAGAACAGAGTGTTGGCTTCCTAAGACGTTATCCCTCTGTAGACAGTCTGGCTTTAAGTTAGTGTGGCTGTTTTGGGGATCCAAAAATGTAGTGTGCCTTCTTCGCTGCTGGAGTTTTCTCTCTCAGAAACAGAAAGGGAGTTCCTTGGAGTTGGGGGTGAAGGGTCCTTGAACGACACTGTCCTGCCCTCATGAACTGTCCACCAGGGTCCTCGCAGAGAGGGTGAATTCTCTGCCTTCCTGGACCATCCTCACAGTTGGCCAGCTTTTGCTCCCTCTTTGTTTTTGAGTTTTAATTCTTTGTTGCGAAGTCTGACTCTCAGGCGCCACTTCCTCCGGTGTTCTTGGGGCTCTCACTAGAGTATGAGTCCCCTTGACCGGCCCCTGTCCTGGAGTCCTGGGGCGAGGGTGCAGATCAGCGCCCCATAAGTGTATCACGTGGCTTGTCTCCCATCTGTGTTGTGAGCTTTGACAGACTTGGACCGCTTGGGTGCCTTGTACCCATCTCCACATCCATGTACGCAATGCTAACAGAAGACCCCTCACATTTGTTAGGGCCTTACAAGGTGCCTGTCTGTGTCTTAGATCATTTGAGCCCCACAATGGCCTTATGACCAAAGCAAGGGCAGTGTTATTACTTTTTAATAACATTGTTTTCCTGCATGCTTCTGTAGAAAATTTGGGAACTTTAGGAAGTACATAAGAGAAAAAAACCCTCCAGTAACTAGGAATCCCACTGGCCAGTCAATATTTTTACCTGTTTCCTTCTTGTCCTCCTCCACTGTCTACCTGCTAGTATTCATCTTTATTATTCTCTAGGGCAGGTATCATTATTCCCATTTTACAGATAATGACAATTTCAGCTCAATGTCACACAATAAGTCGCAGAACTGGGCACAGATCTCATTGCTAGTCTAACGCAACAGTAGGAATTCAATACACAACTGTTGAATTCAGGAAGAGAACCAAGATTATTTGCAGGGTGTTTGTAGAAGGAACAACTGAGAGGGAGCGGTAGATGTGCCTGAAATGTTGCATCAGCGATCTGATAGAAAGGGAGCTTAGAAGGAATTCAGAAGAAACCGTCTTTAATGAAGAGTAATAGAGCCTTTGATTTTTTTTCCTGCCTATACCCTCAAACAGATACTGACAAGTTAAAAAACATGATGCAGTTGGCAGAGCCAAAGATCAGCGAAGTCACCAACAGCATGGAGCATGCCGTTATTTCCCGGAGCCCCCGCGTCCGCTACAACCCTGGCCTGGATGCCAAACTGCTCTACATCCCTTTGGCTAAGTTTCCCACCCCTGTGACAGATTTCATCCTGAGCCGGTATCTTCCAAGGCCAGCAGACAGTGTCTGAGCTGGGGAAGCCCAAGGGTGGTCAGCGGAATGTAGAGGAGAGGGGTGGGAGAAGGGACTATGGGGTCCCAAAGGGGGTATCAGATGTTCTGGGGGGACACTATGCTTAGCCGACACCCACTGCTGGGAAATTTATGGATAACTTCTAACAGAGGATAAGTGCCTCTTCCTACTCGCCGGGGCCCCACAGAAACCTGAAGTGGCCTTTGCATGTTCAAAGACTTGCAGCGTGGCCCTAAGAACAGATGTCCCCCAGTCAGCATATGGCCTTTCCTGGACCTGGGAAAACCAAGGAGAGGAAAACCAGCTCCTGCTGAATCGTGAGCCTCCCTGAGTGATCACCGCCGCTGGGAAATATTGTGGGATAATCCAGCCCACAGGAGAATCTCAACCACTTTCCTGCTGGGCCTCTAAATATGCATTAACCTCATTCACATAACCCATTATTCAAAGTACACAGTAGGGCAGACAGGAAGTGCAAAAGTATATCAGGCAAAAGTTTGTAATATTTTCTCTCTCTTTAGATTTCTCTATCCATCGGTGATTGGGATCCACAGGAAATAATAAGCATTTATTTAATCACCATTGATTAATTCTTCAAATATTTATTGAGTGCCTACTACATACCAGGCATTGTGTAGGTGCTGGAAGGATGTAAAGATGACTAACTCATCTTTTTATTGTTTATTTTGTGTTTTTGGTTTTTAGCACAGTGTCTACTACCAGGGATAGGACAAACAGTAATAGAAGAAACAGAAATCAGAAAATCACAGTTTTAGAGTTGTGAGGAACCCTAGAGTTCATCTAATTCAGTAGTTCTCAAACTTAGTTGTACATCATAATCACCTGGTTAATTAAAAATACAGATTCCTGGGCCTCAATGTTAGAAAATCTGATTCAGTAGGCTTGGGATGGGGCCCAGAAATCTGTGTCTGTAACAAGAAGCTAGATTATTCTGATATACCTGGGCACTCGGGAGTCACTGATAGTTCCATAGAAGTAACTAATGCTCAGAGGAGGAAGTGACCTACCTAAAGCCCCCCATCTTGGTGGCCAAGACAAAACTCAGGTGTCCGGGTTCCCAGACTAGGGTTTTAGCTATAAGAAAATACATTTCTGAAATTAGTAAATATTGTCAGATAAGTCATTGAACTAAATTAAAAAAGAAAGCCTTAGACTTCTGAGTCATATGAGCTTCTATTGAAAAGACTTTTTTGATCTTGAGAAATAGTCATGTAATAAAGGTCAAACGTGAGATTTTTTAAGAAAAAATGTCTTTAATTTGTTTCTTCAACATCTGGCTGAACTTGAAAATAATAAAATGTAACTAATTACATCCACAACAGACCATGTTTCCAAACAAGGTAACGTTCACAGTTTCCAGGAATTAGGGTGTGGACATATCTTTTGGGGGCCACCAGACAATCTGCTGAGTCTGTTATGTGCAACACTTCTATTTCTGGCACCAAATTCTATACCAGGTGGGATGCATTGAGCAGCAAGTAACAGAAAAGCCAACTCACATTGATTTAAACAATAGAGAAAGAATTAGAGCAGGACCCTGTAGGTGAATGATGGCACCAAGGATGCAGGTTCCTTCTCCTTCTTTGCTCTGCCATCCATAGTTTTGGTTTTATCCTAAATCCGATTATCTTTATTGTTGTGGTATGACTGCCAGTGGCAATGGGAACTCTGTGCTTCCTTGCTTGCAGTTTATAGAAGAAAGAGCCTGTCTTCCATGGCATTAAAGATTGAGGAAATTTCTTCCCCAGAGCCCTTGCCAAGGCTCTCTTTGAGTCTCAATGACTCACATTGGCTTAGGTTTGTCCATCCCCGAACCAATCACTCACAAGGGGGCAAATTGCCATGAACTGTTTCACTTAACCATGGAACAGGATGGGAACACTGGGGAATCAGTCGCAGTGCCTACTGCCCTGGAAAATTCAAAACTCAGACTCTGCTATTGAGAGGGTTGAATCTAGGTCAAAAATAAATTTTCTCTGTTGGAGACACAAAAATTTACCAGAGGGAGACTATGGCTAGGTAATATTTTGAGGTATTTATCTACACATTTTCGTTGCTCCTTGGTTTCTTATCTCCCTTTTCCCCACTCAAGTAGGGAGCCAGTGCAGTGCTCCTTTACCTGCAGGGAGATATTTGACAGAATGGAACAAGCACATTTCCTGCACTTTGTCCAGCGTTAGTTTTCCCCAACCTTAATACCTTTAGAAGAATTACAGGATTTGGGGAAAGAAGACAAAGGAATGTGACTTGTGGGCATCCACAACGTCTCAGACTAGCAGGGCCTTTCTCCTAAGACAAGGAGATTCACTCTGGCTGAGGAGAGAAGCGGGTGAGGTTTGGAACTCCCAGAGCAGGAGGGACCGGGCTTCACTTTCTGGAAGTACATCGGGGAGATGGCAAGATTCAAGAGAGTCACAGCTGCATCGTGTGTTTAGGCTGATGAGACCCTGGGTGACCTCACTGAAGATTCATGTGTCCCACCACGGCAGGAAGGCAGGAGAGATTCACCAGATAGAAAGGGCACGTAGACTGGGACAGCAGACGTTTGAGAAATAAGCTGTGCAGATAGAAGACCTAATTTTTTGCTCTGAGGGCTATCCCGCCACCCCATCATTAATAGTTGAGGTATTTTTTGAGGACTAAGATTCTTATCTGCTCCAATATTACATTTCAGTTTATTTCATATTAGGATCATAACTTTTCCTGTATAGCTTTTTTATTTTCCTAGAGTTTTGAATTGCCTTTCCTTTTCTTATTCACTCATTCAGCCTCTTTGTCAAATATTCTCCACATTTTTTTAAACAGAGGAGTAATGTGATCTGATTTAAATTTTAAAAAGATTACTGTAGGGCTTCTGTGGAAATGAGGGGGCAATGGTGGAATCAAGAAGACTTCCAAGGGGACCACTGCATAATCCAGCAAGATACGATGGTACCCTAGGCGAAACTGGTGATAACGGGGATGATGAGAATGGATGAAATCAGCATACAATTTGGAGGTAGTACCACTGAAGGATTTTAATGAGTTAGTCTGTCAAGAAGAATTTATTGTGCTCCTACTATGTGCCAGGCGTAGTTCTAGATGCTGGAATTATAGTGGTGGACAAGGTAGACAGAGTCCCTGCCCTCCAAGAGTTTCTATTGTGATGGGGGAGGAATTGGGCAATAGGCATCTAAAGAAATGAATGACATATTTTAGAAACTGATAAATGCCATTGAGAAGAGAAAATAGAGAAATGTAATAGATGACCAGGGAGGCTGCTTGCTTTTTTTTTTTTTGAAACAAACGTTATTGAAGTGAAATTGCTATAAAACAAAATTCATCCTTTTAGCTGTAAATTTTGATGAGTTTTTACGTATGAATCCACCTGTGCAATCACCACCATCAAGATGGAGAATGTGTCTCTCATCCAGAAGGTTCCCTGGTGCCCCTTTGCAGTTAACAACCACTGATGTGCTTGCTGTCACTGCAGATTTGTTCTGAGGTTAATTACTTTTAAAGAAGATCACTTTTGCTGCCATTGGGGAATGAATTGGAATTGGAACTGGATTGGAGGGGGGCAAAAGGAGCAAGACTAGAGATGATGAGAGAAATGTAAGAATAAAATAATAGAAATAATAATTATTAGCGTTTATTGGACATTTACTCAGTCCCAAGCGCTATGCTTAGTGTTTTCTGCACAATATCCTTTTAATTTTGTTTAATCTCTGCAACAAGCCCTGTGAGGTTTCTCCTGTTTTATGGAGGAGGAAACTGAGGCTCAGAGAGGTTAAGTAATTTGCACAAGATTATGCAGCTAATAAATGGCAGAGTCAGGATTCCAGCCCCAGCGGTTCACCAGACACTGTAACAGCAAACACGTAGTGCTTACCATGCCAGGCCCTGTTCTGAGCACTTCTTCACAGACCTTGAAAGGAGGGTATTATTATTCTAGTTTTAATGAGGAGGAAACTGAGACCCAGAGAAAGTAAATACATATCCTGTAAGCAACTGGCAGGGCAGGTCCTTCTGGTTCTAAAATCCTATTCTTTGAGTGTGTCCTTGCTGTGTTTCAGCCTGAGGGGTGCCTGTGTACACACGCACGGCCAGCAGCTTGTGATGTGGCTTGCTCCTGTTTCCGTGAAACTTCTCCTAACCAGCCTTTCTTGGGCCTCTCTTCCAGCTCTTTCCCTGTGGAGACAGAGGAGGCTCTGTCCTCCCCGGGCCTCGTCTTCTCCTGTACGATGTGGCTGCCTTTCCCCCAGCCTCAGCAAGCTCTCCGATCTCCAGTGACCCTCAACCCATAAGTGAGGAGAGGGGGAGGAGAGAATGCATTCCAGAGTAACACGGGGCTGGCTGGTCACTGAGCGATCGCCTGGCCAGACCGGTTGAGACATGCTTACACAACCAGTGTGAACGCTGTACCTGGGCCAGAAAAAACAGACACAGAGAATTTTAATGCCAAACTTGAAATGACGAACAAAATGTTCCTTTTGGGATTTCTGACGCAGGAGTGAGGATTTTAAATATTGTGTGTTTGTTTAACAGTTGGGGATAAGTTTCAACTAGGAGATGAAAATGAACAGCTAGTAAATAATTTTCAAAGCCAGAATCGAAAGTCCACTGAGGAGGCATTTCAGAGGGCTTTGTATGTAAGGAGAGAAATGCCAACTCTTCTCTCTAAGTTTGCCAGGAAGGAGAGATCTGAATTTCTCCTTCTACCGAAGGAGACCTCTGACCCCCGCGCCCCCACTGTCCTTGTGGCTTTACCACTTTCTGCCCTGGTACCTGGGGAGACAGGTGACGGGTGAGCCACCTCCAAGATGACTATGACTTAATTGCAACATGTGACTTGGGCTTTGGGAGACTTCTGTCCAGGCAGCTGGACCCGTGAGGTTTGAGGGTGCTGGCCGCATGTCTGACGGAGAAGGGAGCTTAAAACCTGAGGGACCAGACGTCAGACATGCGGGAGACGGCGATCCTGGATGTCACCAAGACACAGAACATGGCTGCAGACACCTAGTGGGTGAAGGAGTATGTGGGGGACAGAAGTATGACTTAGATATATTACTCTTAATCTAGATGTCCTCTTATTCCAAGTACTGACCCCACAAGAAGATGACACCAGCCTACTAAATAAGACAGAGATACTATTAAGTTATAAAGTTTGCTGTTAATTGTCTACCTTGACGGAAAAGAACGATGATCCAGATCTAAGACAGCAGCTAATTCTACTTAGTCATGCTCTATGGTATGTAGCCGTAGGGATATAAGCAGACTTCACATAAGCATAAGCTGTTTAATAATAAGTCATCTTTGTGTAGCACTTCATAATTTTACAAAGTTCTTTTATATGGGTTACCCCATATCCCACGCAAAGAGCTTTGACTTCACCCAGATCATCCGCCTGCAAGGTCTTTGCTCATAGCTTCTACACACGCTGGGGCACTGGGGCATGTGACTTGGAGCCCAGATACCTGCAATAAAATGCTGGCTCCACTCTATGTGACCTTGGGTAAGTCATCTAAGCCCTCAGTGTTTCAATGTCTTTCCCAATAAAGTGGGGATAATGCCACTTCCCCCAAGGGGCTATGGTAAAGTGTACATGAGGTAGTATATGAAAAGTTTTTTGTAACGGACAGATGGAGCCAGCTAGTGGAGAGGAGTCACAGGCCAAGTTAGAGAATTAGTACTCTGTCTTCTGTGCAATGGGGAGCCATAGCAGTTTATGGAGAGAGGTGGTTCTTTTCCTGATCTCGCCCAGATTTTCTTTGTCTATCCTGAATCCTTCTAATTTCTTGGACTTTGGATCTCTTTCCCCTGACAGTGTCCAGCAAATCCTGATTGAGAACTAGAAGAGCGAGAAAACTGTTGACAAGTGGCTACAGCAATAAACACCCAGGAAAGCAAGGAGAGGGAATAAGTTTCCAAAAGACAGAGCAGGATATAAGGTAGAATACAATTTAAAAAGAGAGAAAAACAACTTGACATCAGTTTATAAGAATCTCCTGTAGATTCCAGGGCAACAGTTTTTCTGTGATGGCTGCATGGTCATGGACACCCCAGGGGTAATGGCTCCAGACTCTTCATAGGAGGGACCCTTGAGAGGTGAGTAGGGTGGGCTGGGGCACATGGGCACATGCCATGGGGCTGCTTTTGCATGGCAAGCCATTTTTTCCTTTCAAATCGTAATTAAAAATCATTGATCTGGAATCAGACTTCATGAGTTCAAATCCCCCTTTGCCACTTACTAGCTGTGTGACCTTGGGCAAATTACTTAATCTCTTTGTGCCTCATTTTCTTCATATGCAAAATGGCGATAATAACAGTATCCATTTCATAAGGTTGTTGTAAAGATTAAATGAAGTAATATGTGTAAAGCTCTTAGAATACTGCATAGCCCACAATAAATACTATATAATCTTACGTTATTATTATTTTTGTTGTTGTTGTTATATGTTGACTTGAAGGGAGTTAGAGGGCCAGGATGGGGATTATGGGAGGACGAATTCTCCCCAAATGACCTGGCACCACCAGTGATTATGAGGTTTGTCCCGGTGCACCCCTCACTTCTGCCAGCCTTTTCTATCTTCTTTATGTCCATCCCCACAGCCTTGGTGGTCTCAGGCAGAGCCCCATGGGACACCCCCACCCTTCCCAGGATGGATCCTGCCCAGACTAGATCCTATATTTTGGCTCTTCTTGTCATCCGCTCACCTCTATTCCATGGCCTGTTCCTTCTTGGTTACCTGTCTCAGAAAGCCACCTCTGTGAAGGGTAGGAGAAGACCTGGAGACCGATGATCCAGCAGAGGGTGAAAAGCAGGAGGCAGGCGGAATTGCTGGGTTGATAGCTCTGAGTAGGAAAGACGGACTGGAAACTCTGAGTAGGAATGAGTGTACAAGCAGAGGCGATGTCTCCTGTCCACACCTCTGAGACTAGTTTCCTCTTCACAGTGACACGTGGCCTTTGACAGTTCCCAACCTCACACCTCATAGCTTCATCATCAGACCAGAGCTAAAATTTGCTCTCTTTGGAGCCAAGTTAAAAAAATATTTGGCTCAGATGACAATCCCTGGATCAATGAACTGTAGCCAGGGGTCCAGGGTTCTATTCTCAGCCTAGCTTCAGTCAAAGGCCCATCGCTTGATTAATCAGTGGGGCCTTGGGTGTGGGTGGGATCTCTGAGAGGATGGCATCTTCCATTTAAACCACATAATAAGAGCATTTCCCAGAAAGGGAGGTGGATAGATACATGGATGCTATTTTAGGCCAGCGGTTAAATATCTCCTACATCTGCAAAGTGAAAAAGGCAGTTTATAAACCATTTTATGGTAAAATTTAGTTGACAAATAATTAAAAAGTTAAACATTTATATATAACAGCATACATGTATAGTGAATATATTTTATAGTATTATATATTTCTTATTATTTTAATTTATAATATATTATAAATATTTATAAAACTGGAAGGTTATATAACATAAAATTAACCACTAACAGTATTTTTCCAGAGTAATACAAATTAGGATAATTCTCCAGGCTAGATCACATGATAAGTTACAAAGCAAGTCTTAGCAAATTTAAGAAGATTGAAATCATACCAAATATCTTTTCTGATTACATTTTTAAAAAACTAGAAATCAATAACAGGAGGAGAGCTGTAAAATTCACAGATATGTGGAAATTAAACAACACATTCCTAAACAACCAATGGATCAAAGAGGAAATCAAAAGGGAAATAAAAAAATATCTTGAGGGGCTGGCCTCGTGACCAAGTGGTTGAGCTCACAGGCTCTGCTTCGGCCGCCCAGGGTTCCCCCCGTTCGAGTCCTGGGCGTGGACATGGCACCGTTCATCAAGCCATGCTGAGGCGGTGTCCCACATGCCACAACCAGAGGCACTCACAACTAGAATATACAACTATGTACCGGGAGGCTTTGGGAAGAAAAAAAAAAGAAGATTGGCAACAGTTTTTAGCTCAGGTGCCAATCTTTAAAAAAAAAAATCTTGAAACAAACAAAAATGAAAAACAAAACCGCAATGAGATTTCACCTCACACTCATTAGAATGACTGTTATCAAAAAGTCAAGTGATAACAAGTGTTGGTGAGAATGTGGAGAACAGGGACCCTAGTGCACTACTGGTGGAAAGGTAAATTGGTGCAGCCACTGTGGAGAACAGCATGGAGGTTCCTCAAAAAATTAAAAATAGAGGGGCTGGCCCCGTGGCCGAGTGGTTAAGTTTGCGCGCTCCGCTGCAGGCGGCCCAGTGTTTCGTTAGTTCGAATCCTGGGCGCGGACATGGCACTGCTCATCAGACCACGCTGAGGCAGCGTCCCACATGCCACAACTAGAAGAACCCACAACGAAGAATACACAACTATGTGCCGGGGGGCTTTGGGGATAAAAAGGAAAAAATAAAATCTTTAAAAAAAAAAAAAAAAATTAAAAATAGACCTACCCTATGATCCAGCAATTCCACTTCTGGGTATATATTCAAAGGCAAAGAAAACAGGATCTTGAAGAGATATCTGCACTCCCATGTTCATTGCAGCATTGTTCACAACAGCCAAGACATGGAAACAAGTGTTCGTGGATGGATGAACGGACAAACAAGATGTGGTATATGTATACATATACACATATGTATGTATGTATCTATGTATGCACACACGAAGGGAATATTATTCAGACACAAGAAAGAAGGAAATCCAACCTGGATAGATCTAGAGGGAAATGGGGAGATGTTGGTCAAAGAGTACAAAGTTCTGCCTATAAGACAATTAAGTTCTGGGGATCTAACATGCAGTATGGTTATTATAGTTAATAATACTGTATTATATACTTGCACGTTGCTAAGAGAGTAGATCTTAAATGTTCTCACCACACACACAAGAAGGTAATTATGTAACTTGATGGTGTTAGCTAATGCTATGGTGGTAATCATTTTGCAATATCTGTGTATCAAATCAACACATTGTACACCTTAAGCTTACACACTATTATATGTTTGTTATATCTTAATAAAGCTGGAAAAAAATTCAAAAATTCAAAAGTTAAACATGCATGTATAATAGCATATACGTATAATGAATATATTTATAGTATGATATATTTACAATATACATTTATATTATATTAATTTATAATATATTATACATACATATAAAACTAGAAGGTTATATAACATAAAATTAGCCACTAACAGTGTTTTTCCAGAGTAATAGAAATGAGGATAATCCTTATTTTTAAATTTTATTTCTAACATTGCTACAATTAACATGTACTCGTATTTTGTCTAATAAATGAAAAAGGCAGCATTTCATGCTCATCACGGGTGTGGGCCTCTCCAAGCCTGACACTCTTCAAATTCTTGGAGGGAGCCACTGCTTTCCACACAATCTAGTTTTGTAGCAGTTGCATATCCTTCCAGCCATCTGCTCAAGCAAGAGTAGAGGTGTTTTAGTTTGTTGGTGGTGGCATTTAGAGGGGACATATTTGATCAGTTTCTCCTGCATCTTCAATCTATGACACTTTTTGGTGGCTTGGTTGCAGAGCTTTGTCTTAGAATTTTGATGTGTTCTGCTGGACCCCGTTCCGGTGGAAAGTGTTTCTCTTCCTGTTTGCTTCCTGCAGACGGCCCCACTTGCAGGTCTGTGGGAATGGATGGTTCCTTATCTTCCAGTCCCAACTCTCCCTCAGTCTTTCACAGGGTAGGGGTCTGTCTGAGTTTCAGGGGCCATTCACCACAATCTCTGTCTCTGTTCATTTGCCCATCTATGTTTATGCCCTTCCTTCTCCAGCATTGGCACAGTTTGGGGCAAAATCATTTCAAAATAATTTCCTGCCTTTTGCAATCGTCTTTCTCTATGAAGATTTTTCGCTCTTCTCCTCCCCAGCCAGCCTTGTAGGGTTGTCCTTTGATGCCCCAGTGTCCTGTCCTGTAATTGTGCACAGCCTCTTCATGGAGGCTTTTCATGATCTCTGGGCTCAGACCTGGAACCAGAGCCTGAAAGAGCCTCCCCTCCCTCTGCAGGAACGGCTTCAGCGGATTGTAACATTTCTCACACTGGTTTCTGTTCTCCTTTACGCAAAGAAAGAGAAGTTTGCCAACCGCAGCCATCCTCGCTAGGTATTTACTGGTCTCCTTGTGACTCAGCAGGGAAATGCTCCGGATGTCAGGCCTGGATAGAAATGTTGCCTTCTCTCCCTCTGTCCCTCTGTCCCTCTCTCTCCCCCTCCCTCCCATCCTGCCTTCCTCCCTTCCTCCACTCCTCCCACCTGTCTTTCCTTTCTGACTGGTTAATGGATGCGTTTGGAAAGAAGTGCCCCCACTCTGCAGCTTCTGGATTGTAACAGGTGGGATTCTTGTTGTAGGATATAGTTTCAGCTGCATGTCCAGACACCAAAATTAACAGTGAATTACACAAGACAGACGTTTCTTTCTTCCTCATGGAAAAATCTGGAATGATATGGTATCTCCTCTCTATTAATCTCTCAGGGGTTCAAACTCCTTTAGTCTTTTTGCTCTGCCATCCTACAGTCCAAGATGGCTCCAGCAGCAGGAATGGAGAAAGGAAGGACAAGCCTCGGCCCTTTAAGGCACAGCACAAATGTTCCGCACATCTTGCTTTGCTCACTTAATTTGGTCAGAACTTAGTTACATTGTCACACCTCACTGCAAGACAGGCTGAAACTGTGGGTTCTCCTTCTGAGCAGCCATGCATTCAGCTAAAAATTTCATTATCATGGATGAAGGGAATAATGCGTATTGTGGGACAGACGTCTGGCAGTCTCTGCCACACAGAAAAAGTCAATTCTTTTGGGAGATCTCCAGTAACAACTTCTTCCTTGATAGTCTTCAGTGTTCGGAAGGTTTAATAATTGCATTTCTGTACCTATGGGTAAAATGGTTGGAATTTCTCTGGGAGGATTGGACTAGACTGGCAGACTCCAGGAATTCTCCTTTTCTAATGTACCCAGTGTCCCTTAAGCGCAGAGAATTGAGAAGAGTTTGGAGACATTTCTTGTGATGAATCAGTTCTGGTCTTTGGGTTGCCTCCTTTGCAGGTTAGAGATTCTTACTTTTTTTTTTAAACAGTTTTGTTGAGGTATAATTTATATACCTCAAATTCACGTATTGAACTGTATGTAATGTACAGTTTGATATCTTTTTTTTACTAAATTTATACAATTTGTGAAACCATCCCCCGGTCCAGTAATAAAAAATTTTCTTCGTCCAAAATGTTTTCCTGCACCTGTTTGAAGTCAATTCCCACTTGCACTCCAGGTTTTCCTAGGCAACCACTGATCTGCTTTCTGTCACTATAGATTTACCTTTTCTAGAAATTTGATATAAATAGAATCATACAATAGGTAGTCTTTTGTGTCTGGCTTGTTTTACCTAGAATAATCTTTTGGGGCTTATCCATGTTGTTGCATATCTCAATAGTTCACTCTTTTTTATTGCTGAATTGTATTCTATTATATGGATTTACCACATTTTGTTTATCCATTCACCAGTGATGGACTTTTGGATTACTTCCAGTTTGGGGGTAATATAAATAACACTACTGTGAAATTCAAATTGCCTTAATTTCATTTCTCTTGAGTAGATACCTGGGAATGGAAGTGCCGGTTCATATGGTATGTTTAACTTTTTTTTTTTTAATAAATTTTTTCTCTTTCTTTTTTTTTAAGATTTTATTTTTTTCCTTTTTCTCCCCAAGGCCCCCGGTACACAGGTGTATATTCTTAGTTGTGGGTCCTTCTAGTTGTGGTATATGGGATGCCGCCTCAGCATGGTCTGGTGAGCAGTGCCATGTCCACGCCCAGGATTCGAACCGGCGAAACCCTGGGCCGCCGCAGTGGAGCTCGAGAACTTAACCACTCAGCCATGGGGCTGGCTGGGTATGTTTAACTTTTTAAGAAACTGCCAAACTGTTTCCCAAAGAGGCTGTACCATTTTACAGTCCCACTAGCAATATATGACGGTTCTGGTTTTTCCATGTCCTCACCAGTACTTAGCATTGTCTGTCTTTTGTATTATAGCCATACCAGTATGTGTGCAGTGGTATCCCATTCTGGTTTTAATTTGCATTTCCCTGATGATTAATCATAGTGAGTACATGAAAAGCTGTAAAATTCCCTCTGAGCACAGCTTAAGCTGCATCCCATAAATTTTGTTTTCATTTTCATTCAATTCAAGTTATTTCCTGGGGCCGGCTCTGTGATCAAGTGGTTAAGTTCGCGCGCTCCACTGTGGCGGCCCAGGGTTCGGATGCTGGGCGCGGA